AAAAAACCCCAACACACAAAAAAAAACAAACCAAAAAAAAAAAAAAAAAAAAAAAAAAAAAAAAAAACCACAAAACAAAAACACCCCAACCTGTAATGCGAAAGACAGTAGAATAATTAGATCTGTATTGAAACAGCTGTAGTTCACTTCTTGTATAGTCAGTAGACAATATTAATTTTTCACAATATAAATATACATTTTCCAGAGGGGAAAAATGTATTTATTATACTTAAGACACCTACAGATATGAAAAACCCTACCTATAAAACTACTGAAGGCACAAAAACTTTGGTCCAATTTTGCTCATATATCAGATCCCCCATCAATAAAACTCTGAAGTTAAATACTTCAGAAATTTAATATTCTGTTAGGATTTGCTTTGAAAAGAGCAGGCAAACAATCTTCAATATAGCAAACCAAACTTCAGAAGACAGAAGATAAAGTTAATGTAAAGAAAAAATTCTGTGCAATCTGACTGTTGTTTCAGCACAACAGTCACAAGACTAAGTCTGGTAGCTGTGCTCTAGCTAACAATGTATTAGGGCCAAAGGCTAAGGCAAAACAATGCTTTTTGTAGGCAGCTGACCTCTTATTTGAGAAACAGAAATATAAGCTAACAGCATAAAATGGTAAGTAGTAGGTCTACATCTCTTAAAAAAACCCCAACTTACCACTTTCCTACTGACATGAATCAGAGGAGAGGCAAGGTACTTGATCAGACAGACCTCACTGGCACTACTATGCACAAAGACTAATAGTTTTCTTGGCACACAAACACAGGTTTGCTGCTTGTAATCAGAAAAATGTCACAAATAGGCAAGCTTCCACAGGTATGTGGAATATCTTCTGAATAAAAAGGACCTCAATTTATCAGTACACAAATCCAGTGCAACTTAGAGAACCAGCAGACAAGGCAGCTGAGTCAAATTATAAATAAAAGTTTCAGAAATTGGTTCTCATGTTTTAAGAGTGCTGCAGAAATTAAAAGAAGCAGAAGTTTTACCATTATATAACAAATCAAGGATCATTTGAAAAGGCACTTAGCTGCTCCTCTGTTGTTAAAAAGACCTTATTAACTTTGAACCAAGTGTGCACCCATCAAAAAAAAATGGACTAGGAGGCGACTCAGAGTTGATTCAAGGACATGACACATAAGAGGCATAACCATACAGTCACAGAATCATAGAATATGTGGAAGTGGAAGGGACGCACAAAGATCATCGAGTCCACCTCCTGGCCCTGCACAAGACAGCCACAAAGAATCCCACCATGTGCCCAAATTCCAACTTAAACTGTGCACATTACCAGATACTTCACAAACAGAAATTAATGACATACATTAAAGAAATTATAAACATATCTTTAACAGCTTAAGGCCACAGTATACTGAAGATGAAGCCAGAATCCTCTTCAGAGTTACACAGGTAACAGGGAAAAAGGCAAAAGACATAGAATGTAATATGTTTAAAGCCTAGTTACATATTAAGGAAGGAAATTCACAGTGAGGACCACCAAACGGAACAGCAAAGAACAGAGAATTTGCTCCATTTGATTTTTTTTTTTTTTTTTTTAATTTACAATGGACAATTTTTTGAGTAACTGCTTAAAGTTGTCTATGATCTGACTGAAAGGTAGGATTAAGGCCTTTGGAGGTCCCATTCCATCCACATCACTGTGAGACTCTAGAATATCATTCTTTCCCAAATCTTTCTCTTTTCACAGATATCAAGAGCTTTAGAGAATCAAGAACTGAGATGCAACTGTGCTTCTGCACCAGGCTCTAATGAGTCAAGCATGAAGTATAAAAAGTATTCCTTCTGCCATGATTCTTCATTAACAATGCATTGTAATAACTAAGGTGTTTGGTTTATGCTTTCAATTATTCAAGGTGGAACACTAAAAGGGAAAAAGTAGCCTTAACCAGTGCCTTCACACTGCTAAGCAAATGTTTAGGTGTACTGTCAAGTTTCAAAGCTTATCTGCAAATCTTGTAAAAGCAGATCTCCCTAAAAGGCAGCATCTTTCAGAGACACACAAATCTAAAAGTATGTGGGCGAGAATAATTTGGTTGCAAAACCAGAGAATAAAGATGAATCAAAAAAGATACACAATACTTGTACCACAAAACCAAAAAGCAAACATAATAAATACCAACATTCAGATTTTTTCTAAGTTAAAAATTTTCAAGATTCCAGAGGCAGTGTTTTCATCAATGCTCACAGTCAAAGGGAAGGTGTTTGAAAGGGCCAGTCAAATCTAGTGAATCAACAAATGCTTCTGGGGCTGTGTGCTTTGACCATGGGACTTGCTTTCAGAAACAGGGTCTACTGAGAGCTGATGGGGTCCATCTGTCAGAACAAGGGAAGAGCATCTTCTGCCACAGACTTGCCAGGCTGGTGAGGAGGCCTTTAAACTAAAGATGTCAAGGGGGAAGGGAACCTCAGTCCATCCCTGTGAGAGGATGGATTGTAGGAGAACAGAGGTAGTGCTGAAGGCAATCTCATTCCTGAGTTGCAGCTGTACTAATTACCAAAGAGTAGGGACAGGCCTGCCCTTAATACGGCACAGCTATGTCCAGTAAGGATGAGTGTTATAAAAGAGTGAGTTAGCTGATTGAGAGGAGAGCTGCAGTTTGTTGGCTGTGCTGTGAGGAGCAGTAAGGGGCAGGTGGTTGTGCAAGAGCCAGTAAGGGCAACTGTGAGGGACAGTCAGGGTCAGCATGTGCTGCGAGGGACAGTCGGGGTCAGCATGTGCTGCGAGGGACAGTGAGGGTCAGCATGTGCTGTGAGCGACAGTGAGGGTCACCATGTGCTGCAAGGGACAGTGAGGGTTATGTGGTTGTAAAAGGGACAGGAAGGAGTCAGCTGGCCAAGCAGGAGGAAGAGGAGTCAGTATTGTGAGAAGCTGCCTGTGGGAACTCAGAGAGAAAAGGTATGAAAGTAATGTAAGATGATAAACTGATGGTGACAGTCAGTTTCCATCCAACACCAATTGGTGCCAAGCACCAATGCCACCAATTGTCGGGATGGGTCCTGACACACCCCACTTCTATCACTTTGGTGCCTGTGCCAGCAATAGATGCACAGAGCCTGAAGAGGGATCACAGGTCAGCAGAAAAGCTGACCAGAAGAACAACACAAATGAATTCCAGCTACTCCAGCCAAAAAGTCAGCTTCATTAGGGTCTCAACTCCAAATCATCTATGCAAGAGCACATAAGGGGAATAAACAAGCAGAGTTAGACATGTGGGCATGCCTATGACCTCATTGGTATGTCATGGACACATAGTGGGATGGCTCCAAAGAGTAGTGCTGAAATGGAAAGATATTGGCTCTTCAGGAAAGACTGGAAGGGTAGACAAGGAGGTGGTGTTGCCCTCTACGTCCATGACCAGCTGGAGATCATGGAGTCTCACCTGGGGATGGATGAGGAGCTGACTTGAGAGTTCATGGATCAGGATTAAAGGCAGGCAAGGGAAGGTGGTTTTATAGTGGAGGTCTGCTACAGATTGTCTGAACAGGAAGACAGAGAAGATAAGGCTCCTTACAGAGAAGAGCATACACAAACGTTGTTCCTCATGGAGAACTTCAACCACCCTAATATCTGTCAACACAGCAGCACATAAACAATCCAGAAGCTTCCTGGAATGCATTGATGATACCTTCTTTCTTCAATTGATGGAGGAGCCAAGGAGAGGAGGTGCTATGCTGTACTTTTTTTCCCAACAAGAAGGGGCTGGTGGGAAATGTGAAGCTTGAGGGCAGCCGTGACTGCAAGGACCATGAAATGGAGTTTGAGATCCTTAGGGCAGCAAGGAAGGTGCACAGAAAGCTCACTACCCTGGACTTCACGAGAGCAGACTTTGGCCTCCTCTGGGATCTCCCTCATACAGTATCATGGGATAAAGCCCTGGAGAAAGAGAGATGCAAGAAAGCTGGCTGATATTAAAGGATCACCTTCTCCAAGCTCAGAAGTGATTATCCCAACAAAAAGGAAGTCAAGCAAAAATGTCAGAATGGCATTAGATGAACAAGGAACTATTGGATGAACTCAAACACTAAAAGAAAGGCTACAGAGGGTGGAAGTAACATGTAGCCTGGGAGGGAAAGAGGTTTTCTAAGCAGCTCAAGTCTATCAAACTGTGAAAGCTAAAGTTTTTCTTGGAAAGGGGAAATGTAGCCTAGCCTTTTGTAAAAAGGGAAGTAAGAAAGACCCAGGGAAGTATAAGTCTAGAAGTCCCAACATGGTTCCCAGTAAGATTATTAAGTAGATGGCTTCACTAAAGCCAAATCATGCCTGACAGATTTAATGGCCAACAACAGAGTTACAGCAATGGTGGATAAGAAAAGAGCAACTGATATCATCTACCAGGACTTGTGCAAAAAGCATGACACTGTCTCAAAATTTCCTTGTCTCTAAACTGGAGAGATGGATTTGATGAGTGGACCTCTAGCTGGAAAAGGAAATGGCTGGATGGCCACATTCAAAGAGTTGTGGTCAACAGCTTGATGTCCAAGTGGAGACCAATAATGAGCAGTGTTCTGTAAGGATAATCACTGGTACCAGAGCTGTTAAACAGCCTTGTGGGTAACATGGACAGTGGAATCAACTGCACCTTCTACAAGTTTGGTGACAACATCAAGCTGTGTGGTGCAGTCAGCACGCCTGGAAAGAAAGGATACCATCCAGCAGGATCTGGACAGACTGAGCAGTGAGACTGTGAGAACCTCATGAAGATCAACCCACACCATTCTGTGATTCTGTGAAATCCAAAAGATAACATCCCTTAGGAGAATATTTTTCCTAAGCCAGTTGAACTTTCCAGTACATAGTACATTCTGCATATTTATATAGTTGTGTTGTACAGCACTTATTATAGCTACAACTCTGCAGTCAGATTGGCTGCTACTGTTGAGGAACACGTTCACTGAGGTAGCTCGGGGTGCAGTGCAGTGGGAGCTGCAGGCTGAGCTCAGGCTGGGACAGCCCAGGCAAAGAGGCCGTGGAGAGCCGACCCTGGGCACACAAGGGCCCCGGGACCTGTGGCCCAGCCAGGGGACCGGACACTGGGACACGGCAGGAGCCGACGATCCCAGACCTTCCCATGCTTAGACTGCTGAGGGGATGAAAGCCCAGGGCAGGGTCCCTTTGTTCAGGGTCCCTCCTCAGAGACACCAGCTTGAGCTGTTAGTTTGTTATTGTGCTGTGATGAAATTATTTTAATGGTTGGGACGCCTGAGACTGCTATGGGAAACCTGGGGTCCACCCAGTATGGAAACCTGTTCTGACTGTGGGAATGTGGGGGCTGTAACTGGGAAGAGCCTCAGTCCCAGCTCAGGTGGTGCAAGAGTGACTGCCAGAGAGGCTCCCAGATGGCTGGGCAGTGAAATTTCCTTAACACTACACCTGTAATCAATTTACACAGATCAAGGTAGTATCTAGCAAGCTACTATAAGGCTAATTTTGCAAAAATAATTCAGAGAGAAAATTTGAGAAAGCTCACTACAGGATATTCATATCACGGTAGAAACATACTCTTTCTTCTCGAAAGATAAAGTCATACAATTCAGATGAACAAAAACAATTATGAGTGGCAAAACATTACAGCAGAAACAAATTCTGCAATAGTTAGAAGTAAATAAATGCCATGAAATAAATAGGGCTTTAAAATGTGTTAAGTAAAATTAAATTAATTTTCAATTAATTTATGTGAAAGACGATACTGGGAAAAAAAGCTTTTAAAATGAAATTTAGCTTTATAAAATACAATCAGAAGTCATTACTATTCATCTGTACACTCATGGCAAAACCTAACTGCATCTCAGCTCATTCCCCAAAGAGGAATCAAGATTCAGTATCAAACATTTTTTCATACTTAGGAAGGAAAGAATGATAGTATTCTATTACTTTAATACTGTAAAGTATTAAAAATAAAGAAATGCAGAAACCCAAAAGAATATTTTGATACAGCCAGTGTCTCTCAAAAAGTCAGATGAAATCCAAAAAACTAACTGGATTTGCTGTTTGGCCCTTCTATATAGTTTTGTTTGGTTTTTTTAGTATATTTTTTTTTGGTGTGAATTTTTTATCAGTGAAGAACTACCATCAGAGAAGTGCAACCAGGTAAACTTAAAGAATCCCTATATGATTTCACAACAAATGAAACCTCATTCCCATCTACATCCAATCTCCATAAGAAAGCGCAAGAAACTAGAATTCAAAATATTAATTAATGAAAAAATATATCTTGAATTATCATGGAAAACATTTACAAAAAGACCAAGACGAGAATTTTCACAAAGCCCACAATATTTTTGCAAGATACTTAGGTAACACTCTAATCTATTCATACACATATAGTAAGGCACAAAATAAGAAATTAGGTAAATACAGAGTAATTTAAGTATTAGACTGTAGAGTGGTAAAAAACCTCGAGGTTTAATTTTTCTGCCCTGAAAGACGACCTTAGCAAAAATAACTTCTTAAAAACTTGAGAAACCATCACAGACCTGAATATTTTCCATAAGATTGCAAACATTTAATTATTTAGAGAAATGTAAAAAAAATATTTTAATCAGGAGCATTTTCTTGTTTTATTTTCTCCAAGGTACTGTTACACATCCCTTCATAGTAGAAATAGGACATCCAACTTCCAACCCACAGTCAAGTCAAACTAATTCTCCAATTCCACACCTTGAAGAAACTTGTCAAATACTTTTATTCCAGAGAGAAGGCACTGCCTTTTCTCTAATAATTTAATCTATAAGAACAGCACAGACTTTTTATTTTTATAAGCAAGTTATTTGTAAAGATTCGCCAAAGTATGAACACACACCTTGGTAACATAAATACTATTTAGAGGATACTCACAGTTACTGTTTGCTTTTCTTCAAGAAACCCAAGCACTATTTCACATTTCAAATTAGTGTTTAATCTGCACAGAGTAGGTTTACCTTTTCATTAAACATACTCGTTTGGTACATTGCAAAAGCACTCTAAATTGTTTTGTAAGGCTGATTTCAAACAAAAGCTGAAAGGATGGTCTCAAAATATAATTTCAAGTAGGAAATTTGATGATAAATATTGTTGCTAAAATGATTTCACAGAAGAATCTTTCTATGGATGACATAATTGCAGCTAGAATCAGAAAAAATCATTACTTAATTCTTTGTGTATGAATGAGGTTTTTCTTTTAAGAGAGAGAGCTGGTCAGAGCTGTCTCAGTCTCTCTTTGAAGATTTTACAGAAAACATTCAGCAGCCTTAAAGGGAAAATTCACATAAAATTCAGATTGAAGATTTTGAGAAGGAAACTCTGAGATGTTGGTTTTCTCCAAAGTCATGATTGTGAAGCTCAATGAGAGCGTGAACTGCTTCTTCCACTGAGCCCAGCTGGATAAGAGCCATTTTGCAATCTTTCCTGAAGAACAATAAAAATTATTATTAATCCTAACCAAATTTTCACTAGCCAACACAGAAAAGTGGCATAAGTGGGGTTTTTTTCGCAGCTATATCTCACACACTTGTACAGCAAAAGAATTGGAGCTATTTATGCATCTGCTAAAATGCAAAGATAAAAAAACTACATAAATTTTGTGAATCTATGGTTTAAAGTCATGTCATTCTTTCGTTACACTGGACATCAAAAATCTAGGTCAAAATAAGGCTTGAAGACCTCTAAGAAATAATTGCATTGTCCATATATATGGGATTAGTCTAGCAAGTATGATTGTGCTAAAATAATACTGTCAACTAACCTTAATTAATGTAGATACATTGTCATCACTGTCATTTTTATATGGCATTTTACAAATACAAAGCTTGTATTTTTTAAAGAAGCGAGCATTTACTTTCCTTGAACTTGCTTTACTTTGAACGCACGTGAATTTGTCAAAAGGCTGCATATTTTCAGTTTCGTTATGCTAACCCAGTATTCCATTTAAAATTTTAAGGCAAAGTATCATAAAAATTGTGATAGGTGTACCACTTTTATGTATAGCTATACATACATAGAATTTTGCCTGTAGTTGTATACACATAGAAAGTCACAAAAAAGCAATTAGCTATTTTCTAGGATGAAAGCTTCCTTAGCAATTTTACAAGAGAACTTACTGGAAAAATTTGAAGCCTTTCACAGTAGATCCTTTACTTGTAAAAAGGTTCTTCAAATCATCAACAGTAACAGAAGGCCTAATTGAAAACAACAAAAAACAAACAAACAAAACAAAAACAAACTCCCCTCAACTTGTAGAAGAGCAGAGAGTTCTGTAATAATATCAAGATATCAATTTTGGCTTCTAAACTAGTTTTTGCTGTTTAAGTTTATCTCCATCAACTCAAACACTTCAGCCCAAAACACTTGCATTTACTCTACATTTTAGTATCACATTGTGCTACAAAAATAATTTGGACAATCTATTGATTTTCATCCAACCCTGTTTCTTTGTCAGTACAATTCAGATTGCATAAAAATCTCCTAAAATCTTAAGGAATACATTTCATCTTGCACTTTGTGCACATCACATATTTTCAAAATTTTCAATTTTCAAAGATTTTTGTTTTACTCAAAAAGCTGTTTTCAAAAAGCTGTTTTGAAAGTGTCTTATAATTTACTTTCTTACTGTAGCAAAATTCCATAGTTTCCTTTTTTCCTCCCTGCACAGCTGCCAAAGATGAGAAGCCTGTAAAACTTATGTTTGGCTGTTACTCCACACACTACTGATAATATTCTAGACATTAAAAAGATTATTTCAGTCTTAAAGAGCACACTAAATACTTTTTACTTTCTCACAACTTGCCCTCACTGTAAGAGATCTGAATTCTGTAGAAGATGTTCTTTAAAAAGTATTAGAATTATTAAACACTGTATCTATATTAAATAACAGTATCAGTGATTAATTTGTTGTCATGTACATTACCTCAAAAAACACGTCATTAACCTTTGTGAAAATTTGTGATATGATTTAACATGTCAAAAACCAAAAGCATACTCTCAAGAAAATATAAATTGAGAGTATGAAAGACTATTAAAAACTCAAAGAAGATAATTCCTTCAGTTATCCTCTTTGCTAATGATAAAAACGGGACAGTTAAAAGATCCACTTATTGTTAATAACATACCAGAATGACCCACAACAGAATGCACTGTAAAAGGCCAAGGAAAGAAAATCAAAACTTATGTTAGACTTTTTAACTTGACAACACCACCTAAAAAATACCTTTCCAAGAAGATGACACATGCCGATACTCACGGGATGTTGGACAGATGCAAGGTTGCAGATGGAGGAAAGATATTTTGAAAATTCTTGGAGCAGGGATGCTTAAAACGATGTAAAGGGCTATTGCTATAGTCCTTTGTCAGACCTTTGTCCTCTTGTCCCTCACGAGGAAGTTGAATTGTCTGATATTTTGAAAGAGTAGTATGCATGACCCTTCCATAAAGCTTTTGTCCATTCAAGTAGTTGATAGCTAACCAGTGGAAATGTAATTTGAACAGGAATTAATGGAAGGAAGAAAAGACAATTCTTTGAATACTAATACTGTTTTCTACTTAGTGTCAGATTTCACATTCTAAATTTAAATTGCAACTTCCACATCTACCAGGTGGGCTATGTCACAACATTACATTTTAAAAAGGTATAAGGATATAATATAATCTCCAGTTCAAATGCCAAAAAAAATGCAAAACAGCATTTCAATACAGATCAGTTGATCATTCTTAAATAGGTAGATATAAGATAAATTACAGGAAAATAATATAATGCATTATTAAAATAAATGACAGGAGAGTTGTATGTTTTAGTTCTATTGTTTACTAAATTGAGATTCATAGACTATTTTTTTAAAACCAGTAAGAGTATTATCAAAGTTTGCATGTAGTAAGGCAGCTCAGTGATGAATTTTATTTGTTTATGCCTGTCTGACAGATTAAAAACTCTTCCTTTATATTAAACTCATGTTAGCTTGAAGCATAACTGTGCCTTAAAAATCAATACCTAATTGAGCTTGGGTTGCATCTGCCATCTGAACCAAAGCAATTCCTCTTTTCTTAAACATGATTTTCACACGATGCACGTCACCATATACACCTGTGGAAATCCAGAAAGGAAATTTTTTCAGAACACTATTATGAAAAGCAGAATGCCAAGTCTGTTTCTTTTGACTAACATTAGTGTTACAAATAATAATACCTCATTAAACAGGTTGGTTAGAATATTAGTTCAAGGAGTGTTTTAAAGTTTGTTTATTATATTCTGGGGCTCTTAAGTGGAGGAAAATTCCCCAGATCCCAGTCATACTACTGCATGTTTATGTTCAGTTTTCAAATAGTGCAACAGTTGCCAAAGTCCTCTTAACAGAGGCTTATTAAAATATTACTCTACCCAACACTGTCCCCTGCTACTAATGTACGAGGCAATTCTGCACAGCATTTCCTCTGATGCAACCTCCATTTTTTTATCTTACTTTGCTTTCCCATTTTTTGTAGTAAACAAATTGGACCACACATCAAAATTCTTCTGACACTAACTGTTTTGCCATTTTGGTATCTGTGGCTTTTAAGTAATGCCTCAACTTACTGCCATTTTAAAACCAGTGCATTCTCTCAGTGTATTTCCTGGACATGCACAGAGCAACAGAGTTTGAATTAACCAGCATGGGTCAGATAAATAAAAAGGACCACTAGCCCTGTGGTTTGTCAAGGTATATTTGACATATCTTACCAAATAGGATGAAAAGTCCATAAGGTGTGATGGCCTGTTTAAATGATAAAATGAGTACATTATTTCTAAAGCCATGCAAATGAAGACATCTATTCTATAAGTGCATGGTAAACAAATAAAAAAAAATGGAAGAGATGCTGCATACTAATACATAAACCTGTCTCTCCAAAAGCCATTCCCTGCAATAATCACAGTGTATGGCACTCTTGTTAGTACACATTTGCTATACACATGTAAAATATGTAAACAAGCAAACACTTCAGCTGATACATTTTTATCACTCAAGACTCATTCTGTCATGCTGCAGAAGCTATTAGTTTTCTAAGTAGCTGTATTATTTGACCTTATCCTTTCTAAGCTACCTGCTCATTCTGTGAAAAGAATGAAAGTCACTGGTTAAATTAAAAATAAAGTATTAACGAACTCCTCTGCATTTTGTAAACAACAGACAATACCAACAAAAATAAACCCAGCTGCTTCAAAATGTGTTTGCTTTGTCTTCAATTTTGTCCCCATCCCTGTACATGGCCATGACATTCTAAAGGGAGACACAGAGTATTTAACTGTTTATGTCGGAAGCATATAGCAAGTGGTATTTAAATTGTATTCAATTAGAAGCTGTGAACAGAAAGGTAAATTTCTCTTCAGTGACTCTCAATACAAATCTTGTGTGCCAATTACCAAAGAAGACAATTTACAATGTAATGCAGCCAAAATTTTTCAGCTGAGGCAAAGGTTTTGCCAGTAATGAGTTCTAAAAATACCTGCATATCAGAAGCGCTACTCACACTCTCTATCCCTATTCCTTCTCAACTCAACTTCTTGAATGTGTACCAAACATACCTACATTATTCAAGAACAGAAGATATTGCAGCCTAAGTGTAAGGCCATACCCATTTATCATCAGCATTTAGTGGCAGAGAACAATTACTATCAATGTAAAATCTAAATTCATCAAGTGTTTATTCTTCTGGCCCAAATATTTAAATTCAGGATAGAGACTTCTGTTTTTAAAAAGAAATTTCTTATTCAAATGAGACTGAAATATTTCTACTTAAAAATCAAAGGAGGGGAGGAGAATGAAAGACAAAACCAGTCATGAAGGAATGTTAAAATGCACACTGAAACCAGGAGAGAAATATGAACTGAAATAAGGTCAACCAGATTTTCTATACAGAGAAAAAGGAGTGACAGGGGTCAGACAACCAATACTGAAGAACAAGTGCTACAAAACTGCCAAGAAATATATTTTCAACAATTAATTTTGTAGTACATTCTTATTTTAATCCTTTTAAGAAGTTGAGCATTACTTAATACATTGGTATTGTATCATGCTTTACAGCACTAAGTTCTCTATGAATCCTTAGCTATGATTCATACTATGTAAAGCATCAATGTCCTAAAAAGAGCTCTGACCTATGGTCCACATATGCTTATTTTTAAGAGGCAGGCTCCTTTCAGATTCAGAAAATAGTCAGCTGCAGAAAGCACATCTGCAGCCATCATCAGAAACTCACTGATATATATTGTAAAATCAAAGAAAAAGTGACTTGTCTTACAGCCCTATATACAGCTGGGTTTTTGATGCTTGCTATGAATTTGGCTGTTAGTACGCAAACGGAAACAGAACAATTACTTAAAGAAACTGGTGAACAGATTTTTAAACCTCAGAATATGAAGATAACTTCAATTTCGCCAACAACTTCTAACAGTTTTACAGTTAAGGAAATGTATGGAGTGTGTGCAACAAGAATTTTACATTGCTGCTTATCAATAGTCAAAAAGAACTGTGTTTTAAGTCAGGGCCCTGTTAAAGCTTGTTTAATTTTTTAAGAAGATGTATGTTCTTTTCAATTAAGAACTGATCACTGTTTGAATAACACAAAGAAGATTATAGACCAGCCTATGTCATTTCCACTACAAAAATAACTTTCCAAGTTGTCCTTGGTAATTTTACTGCCACCATATGAAAAAGCATCTGTGTGGTACCATGAAAAGTGAACATGGGTACTTACTATAACTGTTAAAAATACATGTAGAGTGATGTCAATAACATAATGTACCCGTGTTCTTTTTCTTCAATCTCAAAGCTGCAAAACTAGAAAGATCCTACACATGTTTAGAAAGGTACTTGATTTGGCATGCTTTTATCTCTTTTTCTGTTTCCTCCTTTCCATTTAATTCCTTGTTTTTTAAAAAATGTAAGGAAAAATCCTTTACAGATAAGGATTGCCTTCTTTACAGATAAGAAACCACACAGAGGAGTCATACTAACAGATACCAGTAAATTATCATATGTATGTTGTTTACATCTTCAAACATTTCTTACAGTTGATCACAGACTTCTCTCTAATTACTAGCTACACTGCAAACATAGGGTTTCAAAAGTAAATTATGTTAGGAAGCTTTTCACAGCTTGATGGGAGTTTTTAAACCTCACCTATATTGCTAACTACCTACAACAAATATAGATATGTCCTGTTTTTTATATCATCAGCATAGACAATTTCTCTTACTCCTTCAGCTAATGTCAGTTTGCAAGGATTCTGGCAGTTGGTACAAGGTGACATTTACATCAGTTCCACCAATCAAACTTACTTCAGGGTTGAGGTTGCTGACTAGTAAAACAGAGTTTCCTGGAATACCCGGAACAGTCATGTGTCCAGGTGCTGCTGATGTGGTGACCGTGAGAGGACCAAGTGCTCCAGGAACAGGCAGAGCAGAAGGACCTGGAAAGGTATAAATAGCATCACTTGACATCTCGAAGTGGATAAGGAAGAATACACAAGCAGGTTGTATTTGGCAAAACCATCAATATCCAATTTAAAAATTATTTTAAGGAATTTAGTTATTACTAGTATCTGACCAATAAAGCAGGAATCATCTCCCTTTCAGAGAAAAAAGAAATATTCAGCTACACAAATAGACCCAAACAAACAGGGACATAAATTGAAGCCCAAGAAAGAAAAAAAATAATACAGCACACAAGTTTATCCTGTGCTAGAAAGGGAAAGATCACAGTCTAAAAAATTATATATTTCTCACTTGATAGCCAGAAAAGCAGAGACTTCCCTCAATTTGCTTTGAATGTTATAGCAGTTTTATGATTCTGAGAAAAAAATAAATGCTTAATTTCCTCTCTTACAGGTAATCTTTATCATGGCATTTAGGTTCTTTGCTTATTGAATGATAAACTACATCAGGATATTGTTTTTATTACAGAAAATTATTTTATTGAGTATATATATGAAAAGAGTTACAATTACTCAAATTAATAATGTGTTCTGATTGCTATATTTTAAAACAAATGGCTCAGAATGGATGTATTCAGATGGGCCACTAGCCATAACTACAAACACCACATTTTTAGAAAACAAACTTACCAGCTCCCTGAGGAAAGCCCAAGGCTGGGGCAAACCCAGGAGGCCCTGTATATGATGGAAATACGGTATTTTGGGTGGCTAGAGAGAACAGACATTTTTTAAAGCAGATATTAAAAGTTTTGGAAAACAAAAGAGATTTCAGCAATCAGAATCAGCTACCAGTATTGCTATTTTGACTTTATATGTGATTCCAGATGTTTATAAAACTTTCCGGGTTAAAACTCTCATTGAAATCCAAGATTCTATGTTGAACAAAGACAACATAGCCACTTTTGAAGGCAAATATTCTGGTCAGCCTCAACATTCCTCTCTAAAATGAAGTCTGGGCAAAACGTAAATTAGAGAAGTTTGAATAGGAAAGCACAGCAGAGACTAGTATCCATTAAAGCCTGTGTTCAATGGTTTCTATTCACACAATGGACATACTAGAAATTTTCTGCAAGTAAATACAGTCAAAGATGTTTTGCAATGATGAGATACAACTCCTGAATACTAAGATCAGTACAAGCTAAACAACACAAACTTCCACAACTAATCTGAGGTTCTGAATTTTACTAGCTGCTGAAATGCATAAAGCATATATATTCTGCTTTTTAAGGAGATGTACTTTCCCAGTTTGTGTAACTTATAAATAACCAGTGTTTTTTATAGTTCCCCTGGAAATCACAAGCATTAACCAGATTTGGAATAACAACATATGGAGAGTCCCAGCATCAAAGATAGCTCAGTGATTTCCACATTAGTATGTGGAGTCAAGTGCTACCCAGGGTAGCTCACAAAGCTGTGCTCTAAGCAGTTAGATAAAAGCTTGAGCTGTGGATTCGTTCGTATGTAAGGACACACCAGATTTTATTTTTTTCAAATGGGGCATGTATAATTAGAAAACATTCTACAAGCTTGGTAATATGTCTGTTTTACTGCTCAAACCTCTACACTGACTAAAATAGAGCTACTAACAAATGATTATCAATAGGGATAACATAACACCAAAAAAAGTATATATTATGAATTACAGAAAGAAATGTAACAGACACCACAGATCAAGTACCCATGAATACTGCATCACATTACACCTCCTCTTATCTGTGGTAAAAAAGTATCTGTCATACAAAAAACTGAACACATTTATCACACCAAATCAAGCAAATACATTTTGGAAATTATACTGACAAGTTCTGGCAATATAGTTATTAATCACTTATTTACAAACCAAGAACGGTAATGGAAACATTAATGAATAAATAGATCAAGAACTTTGAAATTTATTCTGCCAAATAAGACCTGCATGTTGCACTCTGATACCAAAATCAGGAATGTAAAAATTGTCAAACTGAGCTAATGCAGGAAGATCTAGCATTCTTTGGGCTTTTTTGGGTTTGTTTGCTTGTTTGTTTTAAATTAATTTGCTTCATGGTTATCAGCCTAGCTTTCTAAGCAAGCCAATTCAGGTATTTCTGCTCAGTGGATGTAAGAACGCTTTAAATGCAAAATATGCACAAAATCTGTTTGTTTATAGTGCAGTATCTTTTTCACAGAAAGCAGAAGAAAATTAAAGAAAAAAGAAGAAAAACAAGTTTCAAAAACAGTTTCGTTTTGCTACTAAGATAACCTCAAGCCTACAATAAAAACCAGATATATTATTTTGACAATTACCAGCTTTGTTTTATAATTTACATCAAAAATACATCCATTAGTAATAAGAAGTAGTGAAGGTAGTCACATGGCTTAGAACATCTTTTCCTCATGTTCTGCAACTAAGCTTCTCAGAACATGCCAATGACAATATGTGTGTTGCCATCACTAGAAAGGCTAGGAAGCACATTTTTCCCCATCTACAGCTGTTTATTATTGTTTTTTAAAATAAATGTGCAGCTGCTTCACTATGAATGTACCACAGACAAATACATCAGCCTACTCCAGCACTTCTTATTCCTACAGTAAAGGAAAATAAGGCTCCTAGCAATGAGGAGCTTGGGAGCGTGAGGGGGAAGAAGAGAAGTGTTCATGTGTTATTCTCCAAAAGCATTCTTATTTCTGCCCTACAAGCAAGTGCAGAAATAAACTACTCAAATTGTACCTTTCCCTTCCACTGACATTTCAAATAGTGCAAGTCTAATTAATTAGACTATATTAGACTTGTAACAGCACATTTCTATAATGCTGTATGGCAAATTCCACCATCCTCCTCTGCCCCACACTGTAATGACATTTGTCCATTACACAAAGATCCAAGGCCTGCATTTAAGGGGAGCACTAAAGACAAAAATCAAGAAAGTAGTGAGTGCAACTCACTTTCTTATTCTAATCTAAGCTAACTCAACTATCCAAAAAAATCAAACCAAACCCAGTATTTGTCCTAGCTGCCACAGAAAAATAAAGGAAAATAGGGAATTATTCTCCCACACTTTTTACTGTGATAATCAATTGGACAGCACTTAGATACCTATTCAACAGCTAAGACAGTTCTTAGCTGTGTATTATTGTTAATAGTTGTCATTAGAGAGAGAGAAAAATAGCTAAAATCACTCTAATTGTGTGTCTCTAGTGCCACTTCAAGCAGACACTGTCTCCTCTATGCCAAAATGACTTCTAAAATTTAAGAAAATTTCTTAAATTTTATATTTTAAAAGATGAATATAGATATATATAAATAAGTACAGAATTTCGGATTTTCTTACAGTTTTGTTTCTTGGAGCACTCAATTACCCTAAAATATCAACAAATAAGAGCTAATACTCTTAAAACACTTATTTTCAAGCAGCTTTAGGTAGCCAGTGTCAATTTGTGATGACTTCAATTCTGATATGCAATATTTACTACATTACTTGTACTAATGATACAATTTCACAGCATTTTAGTAGTATTTTATAGCTTTTTTTACAACACTTTAAAATTCGCCCACTAGTATTCCTCATGTTATTGTTTCAGATATTCATTTACCATGACTCTGACTTCATGCTTTCCATACGAATTTTACTGGGCATTGCAAAACAAAATGTATGAAAAATTTACCCCTCTATGAACCTGATATGAAGCCATATCAGCATAGATGTGACATAAAAATTATGATCTCTGTGTGTATTTAGCACTAGAAGTGAAGATTTCTTACCAAAAGGAGCAGATAAGGATGTCTCTACAGTTCGGTGGCCATCACCAAAAGGAAGGTCAGTGCGAGTGAAATCTCTACTTTTGTCATTGTTGTACTTCACCGTTAGCTTAGTAAACTTGGAGAAATCAATACGCAGAGTGCAGCAGCCAGTGTAGATACAATGGCCATCCAGAGCCTGAAGAAAAATAATTACATTTTCAGAGATAAAACACATCATGTCAGCCATCGCTGTAAGTTTATATTATTATTGCGGCCTTTCAGGACTTGAAGGTGGCCTATAAGAAAGATCAGGACAGATAGTAGGGCAGGTTGGCATAGGACAAGGGGTAATGATTTTAAATTGGGAGGGTTGATTTGGATTAGCTATATGGAAGAAGTTTTTGCAAAGAGTGTGATGAAACATTGGCACAGGTTGCCCTGAGAGGAGGCTGATGCCCACTGGACAGGGCTCTGAGCAACCTGATCTAGTTGAAGTTGACCCTGCTCACTCCAGGGGATTGGACTGGATGACCTTTAAAAGTTGCTTCTCATTCAAACCACTCCACCATTACAAAGTTTTCACCTTGTAATTGAATCCAAACAGTAATTCACCTTCTGGTATTAAGCCCTCTTTTTAAACACCAAGTAGACAATTATGCTGCAACTATCTTTACCTAAACCTCTAGTGTAGTCTACTAGTTAGTAGTATATCACCTTGTGCCAAGTGGACAAAACACAGCTTTAAGCATGACTTAACTTCTTATGTCTCTAGTCTTACTTCTCTCCCACTCAACACACAGTATCGGATGGTAATAGGAATACTAATTTGGAAATTTTAACTGCGTGAACTGACCCTTACATGAGGGACTCTAATGTAGGATCTGAAGCACAAGTCCCATGAGGAGTGCTGGAGGGAGCTGGGGTTGTCTGCCCTGCGGAAAAGGAGGCTCAGGAGAGACCTTACTGTTCTCTACAATTGCCTGAAAGGAAGATGTAGCAAGGTAGGAGTCAGTCTCTTCTCCCATGAAACAAGTGACATGACAAGAGGAAATAGGCTCAAGTTCTGCAACAGGAGTTTAGACTGGATATTATGAAAAATTTCTTCATCAAAAGGATTATCAGGCATTGGAACAGACAAGTGGTGAAGTCACCATCCCAGGAGGTACTTAAAAGATGTGCAGATGTTGTGCTTCAGAACATGGTTCAGAATTAGGTTTGGCAGCATTAGGTTTATCATTGGACTCAATGGTGTTTTCCAATATAAGTCCCAGACCTAGGCATGACTTCAAGTGAAACAAGAGAGCGGGCAGATCCTGTGCCAGTAACCCCCAGAAGTGGTGTAGAATTGTAGGTGATGCCACAGCAGAGGCACCCATCTGCTGACCTGACCAGTGGTCTAAAAAGGTCTCCAGTCTGCCTCTCTGGGACTTGAATCACAGGTGTCATGAAAGGATTGCTAAAGCTTTTCTACATATCTGACTATTTATTACCTCCTGCTCCCTTTATATGAGAATTAAAGATGACTTGGATGAAGGGGCAGAGGCCTCCTCAGCAATTTCCTGACAACACAAAGCTGGGAGGAGTGGCCGATAGCCCAGAGCGCTGAGCAGCCCTTCAGAAGGATTCCAGCAGCCTGGAGAGATGGGCACAGAGGAACCTTCTGAAATTCATCAAAAGCAAGTGGAAAACACAGACTAGGGCCTGATCTACTGGAAAGCAGCCTTACAAAGAATGTGTATCTTTGTGGACCACAAGATACCTGTGTGCCAGCAATCTGTCCTTGTGGCCAAGAAGGCCAACGGCATCCTGGGCAGCATTATAAAGAACATTGTGAGCAGGAGAAAGGAGGTGATCCTGCCCCTCTACTCAGCACTGGCGAGGCCACATTTAAACTGCTGTGTTCAGGTGTGGGCAACTCAGCCCAAGGGAGACATGGAGCTCTTGGAATGGGTTCAGTGTAGACTTAGAAAGATGACTAAGCAATTGAAGCATCTCTTTCACAAGTAAAAGTAGAGGGAGCTGGGCCTGCTCAGCCTCAAGAAGACTGAGAGAGACTATTATCAATGATTTTCATTTTGACAGACTCATGCAGGTCCTGGAGTATATGCTACAGATTTGTTTGCAGCTGATGATAGAGTGCTGTTCTCTTAAATAAAGAGAGATATCAAAGTTATTCATGTGCAACAAGAGTGTTAACTTCGTGATTTTTCACCATTCTAACAGTCAAAATATTCCTAATGCTTCCCCTATCCCTTAGCAAGGAAAACCCCCCAACAAACAAACAAAATCAAGCTGAATACACTATACTTACCATTTTGGCATAATATGCATTCATTGCATCAGCATACTGGAGCAGAACTTGAAATTGATTGTTCTTATGGAACATGACAATCTTCAAGACAAAGCCAAATTTAGAGAAAATCTGTTAGGGAAAGAACATGGGCTTTAAGAAGCAGTGAGTAATTCATGCACACTAAAAACTAGCATTTAATATTCCAAATAAATTTCTGAAAAATATTTCTGTTGTGAGAGCCGAACAAAAATAAAATTGTGTGAACTCAGAATTTTGTATCAGGTAAAAAAAATAATTAAAGAAAAGCTACAGAAGACAGGAAAGAAGTACAAAATTTCCTTAAAGAATTAGCAATGTCTAATCAAGTAAACAAGAAGGACAGTCCAAACAAGCACTTGTCAAGTGTCTGCAGAAGAATTGTGAATTACAAATCAGAGCTGAGGTTTGAGAAATGGACTTCACAAGTCCCAGAATCACAGAACACATGGAGTTGGAAGGGATCTGCAAGGATCATCAGCTGAGTCCAGTTCCCAGCTCTGCACAGGACACCCCACAGAATCACAGTGATCATGTGCATGAGGGCATTGTCCAAATGTTTCTGGGAACTCTGTCAGGCTTGGTCCTGTGATCACTTCCCTGAAGAGCCTGTTCCAGAGCACAACACTCTCTGGGTGAAAAACCTTTTCCAATCCAACTTAAACATTCCCCAACTCAGCTTCACGCCATTTCCTCAAGTCCTGTCACTAGGTGAACAACACTGAAGTCACAGCACTGAAGAGATCAGTACCTGCTCCTCCCACTTCCCCTCTGAGGAAGCTGTAACTGCAAGGAGGTCGCCCCTCAATCTCCTCCAGGCTGAACAGACCTAGTGCCCTCAGCCACTCCCCATAAGGCTTCCCCCTCTAGACTCTGTACACTGCTGATTCATATTCAACTTGCCATTGACCGAGATGTGCAGGTCCCTTTCCACAGTGCTGCTCTGCAGCCTCTTGTTCTCTAGCTTATACACATTACCCTTCTCTGTTCCAAGCTAGTTTAAAGCCGTCAACAAGCCCCACTATCTCCTACACTAGGACCCTTTTTCCCCGCTGAGAAAGGCACATCACATCAGGTGTCAGTGGAACAGGTGTTGAATAGATTATCCCATGGTCAAAAACACCAAAATTTATTCAAGTACACAACAGAGCCACCTGTTGACCTGGTGGATCTGTCTATTTCTATAAATATTATTCCTTGTTACTGGAAGTCAGTTGAGATGGGAACTGTAAACTACATTTCAAGACATCCACTTTTATGTTCTGTACATTAGATAAATTCCGCAAATCTGTTGAATGAAATACAACTTAAATAATTTGTGCACTTATTAAGACCCACTGCCTAGACTAGAAAACAGCGAGGAAAGAAGCAAGACAAAGACCTAGATTTGAACCTACCCCTATACTTTAATCAAATGGTATTTGATTTATTGCAAACCTAAGTATTGCAGAAATACTTGTAAAGGCTGAATTTAAATATATACACATTCCAAATGAGAGTGCGCATTACAGGAAGATGTTTAAACAAAAGCTATGCCACAAAGAGCAAGGACAAAAATAAAGCTAGGATGTATCATGCAAGTGCAGGAAAAAAATGTCCAGTCAAAGAGGAAAGGTAAGTTTGAGAAATATGATTAGTTTTCAAACAAACTGTTAGAATCAATGCAAAGTAAGGAAAGCAGAAACCCCTGAGAAATATTAAACCTGCAATAGAAAGAAAGGCCTTAGATAAGTATAACCATCTCTTGACAGCCTCTTAGGCTAGAATCAGTGATACAAGACTAATGTCCCAACCATTTGGACCCAGTTTCTTCATCTCTCAGAAACGAGATTTTAATGCTGAAGGCATCATTTAGTCGTAGAAAACAGAACAAAAACCTTTTCACAGCAACTTAAAATTAGTCTTTGAGTTCCTGTTCATAAATCACTTCCTCTTAAGAAATGCCTAAATACACCTTCTCAACATATATTTTTCCATGTTTATCCAGAAAACTTAACAGACCTTTTTAAAGTAATGAAATTTAATGTATTCCTTCCTGTTTGATTTTAAACCTAAACACACTGTATATATCAACTTTGTTTCTGCAAAGATAACACTGAATTTTCAGCTTCTTATGATAAATATTTTAAGGCAAATTGTGATTTTAAAAAGTTAATTTTTTTGACAGGTAAAACAACTTACAAAATACAATCCAAGTAGGGGATGACAGCTTGCTTACTAGTGTTCCATAAGATGCTATGCCTGTCGGTGAAAATACTCATTTTCATTAACCTTACCACACAAAGTTAGATTGTAGCTATTGGGTACAAAGTGCTGCTTTAATTAGAGGAGATTGTGTCCTATTAAGAACTCCAAATAAGACCCCTTTTCAAATATTACTAAATTTTCAAGACATATTGGAAAAGTAGTTGAGAGCAATTCAAATACTGAAAATATAGTTGTGGTGCACTGAAGTAGACTAAAATCAAATGAAAGTAAATTAGTATGAATTTCCTCTTTGCTTTTGTATTCTTAGAACTAGTACAGCTCCCATAACCACAGGAGCTTGTTCTGAGGTTATTCTGAACGCAGTAATAATCCTAAGCAGGTGACATAGTATTTGCACAGGCTCAGTAACGAGCGAGTAACTCAAAGACACACACAAAGGTTTAGATCCAAGTGGCAACTAATATGTACACTAGTTAATCAGTATCATGGTGAGGAAATACAGAGAAACAGAAAAATTTAAGAGGTAAGAGCTAAAACAGAGTGTTGCTAAAAACAACTATTGTTTGAGATCTTAGCAGAGCAGGAAAAGAATCTTCCAAGACTGCAGGTTCCTACAAAATTATCCCAGTTATTCTAATTTGTATTATTTAAGAAACTCATATGTGGGGCGTGGTTTTTACTGCATAAATTACTACTAATTACAAAAGTTTCAAGAATGAAAAACTTTGCAATATTTGTAAAGTAACAACAAATCTTCTGGAAGCAAAGAAGTGGTCTTAAAGTTATTTTTTAACTGAGAGCTTTCAACAGCATAACCCAAACCCTAGCAGAAGTTATAGTAGTCTTTCATAATTACAGCCTACCATTATTCTAAGCTTAGAGAGGTAGTCAAATGCCATTCCAAAGATGAACAATCAAAAACATTTGATTTGAACAAGCAATTTGCATATTACACCACCTGCACTGAGGTATAAAAGTGAACATAAAACCCTAAATATCAAGCAAACTATCAAGGTTACTCAGTAGAAAGAGTGCTAAAATATGGACTCAAAAGTTCATAACATTCAGCATTTCACTAGCCCATCATGAAAGCAGAATTAACAATTCAAATTTGTTGCTGCCTCCTTAGCAAGGAACTAAATGAGACAACATGAAAATCTGAGTACTGAAGCCCTGTTTACTTGAATTTCATTTACATACAACTATTTCAAACCTAGATCCCTGAATTCAGGAAATTATTTTAAAGAGACAGTCCTCACTCAGAAGATTCAGGAACCATAGGAATTAAAAAAAAATTTAATGGATTCACAGTAGCAACATTGGAACAGATTGTGACTTTTTTTAAGCAGTCCTCATTACCTGATACAGTGTGTCTAAAGTGACAGGGCAAAAAACATTTTCAACAACGATTCGAAGAACAGAACCATGACTTGGAAGGACCCCACCTTCAGCAGCAAAAGCACTTGTAATACCCAGGTTTCCATGCTGCACAGCATTCATACATTGTGGTGCAGGTTGGGGTCTCTGAAATTAAGTCATAGCAGAGAGTGCAGTTATTTTACATACAAATTATTCATACTGAAACAAAGTTCTCCTAAATGAAAAGGACATAAAAAATAACTTCATAAAACCATATTTCCTTCATCTTATTGATTAAAATCCCACATTTATAAATCATAACTCTTACTTTCCATGCTCCTCCCTTACAACTAGTCAGTGTAATTCACAGAATTACAACTATTTTTTTGTTAAACTGCTACTACTTTCTGCGATTACAGAAGTCTTTTCACTTGTTTTCCATGGGTTTTCCCCAAAGAGGTCTTCATACTTCCTGTGAGTAGCAGGACTATGGAGAGATGTTCCTTTTCAGATGCAGTATTGTGACTTAAAGTCATGTCTCAGCTACACTATTTCTTTGGAAGACAGATTTAACAGGGCAGGTGGTACATGTTACTTAGTTTCAGAAAAATATAACCCTGCAAAATAATCTGTACTTCAGGGCTCAGCCTAGGGACTGAGACAGTAACAGTATTCAGCTGCTCTACTAGGGTCTCTTTAAAATTTAGATATAACTCAAATATAAGTGCCAAACAGCTTATTTTCAAAAGCAGACAATGCTGTTATAGAAGAAAGCAAGTTGAAAATACTCAGAAAGAGACCCAAGCAGTCTTATTTGCAAATATACATATAGTTTTCCTGATGCTCTTACGCAAACTACATCCTTAAAACAAAAACCTTGTCATTTGTTTGGTTTTGTAGATAACAAACAGATAGCAATCTTAGATGAAGAAAGAGATAAATAACATTTACCAGACTGACAAGCTTGCAAGACTTGTGTGACTTTTGTGCCAGCACAGATGAATGATTTATACCCAAATCACTACTGTCAACATTCTTCCAGAGGAAAAAAAATCATTATATATCCATCACAGTATACAACTTATGTATCTAAATGGGAAGTCAATTGAAATTCATCCAGGAATCTAAAATCCAGCATTAACCCCTAGGGTACTCTGCCAGTGACTGGACCCCAGCTTTATGCCATTGGTCACAACCATTTCAGCCTTTCAAATCACTTCACAGTTCACTTAACTAGACTGCATAAATCAGTTCATCTATTCAGATGTTATTGGAAACAATCAAAAGTCTTGGCAAAGTCAAGATGAACAATAACCCCTTGTCTTGTCCATCAATCCAGTCATCTCACCATAAAAGGCCACATTGGTTAGCATAAAGTCCTTTTAAAAACTACGCTTCACTATGACTAACCACTTTCTCCTCCTTAGAATGTTTGGAGATAGTTTCCAGAATGAGTTGCTCTATTCCTTACCCAGGAACCAAAGTAAGGCTGATCAAGCAGTGGTTCCCCAGATTTTCTTTTCATCTTCCTTGCTATCCTTTCTTAAGATAGGACATGGAAGGATTTTCTTTTTTCTAGTCTTCAGTAACTTTTTCCAACTACCATGACATTTTCAAGATTGTACATTGGCAGTGCAATGACACCAATCTGCTCCCTCAGCATTCAAAAGTGTATCTCACTAGGGCCATAGACTTTTCGTTTATCAAATTAATTTATATGTTCTCTAATGCTATTTTTTTCTACTTCCTTCATCAAGACTTTTCCACTCTTCTCAAGCGCAAGTCTTAACCACCACAGGCTGCCAAGAAGGCTCTTGGTAATTCAGCCTTTTCCATCTCTGTCCCTGCCCCATTCAGCAGCAGGCCTACATATTTTTTTAGAAAAAAAGAAATCTTATTTCTACTGCTGATATACCTCAAGGAACCAAACTTGCTGCTTTTCACATCTCTCATCAGAGACAACTCCATGTAGTCTTTGACTTCCCTAACCATATCCCTGCGTGTTTAGATAATGCTCTATAATCTTCCTGAGGCATCTGTTTATGATTCCAAGTGTCCTATGCCTCTATTTTATCTTTCAACCCAATCAGGAGCTCCTTGTTCACACAAGCAGTCCTCCTGCCACCTTCACTTCATTTCATGGTCATTATGGTGAACTACTTTTGAACTTGAGCTCCTTCACAATAATTTTACAGATTTTGAAAAGGCTCTCTCTGTAAGAAGTTACTGAAATTATATCTATATCAGAATTTGTCTACTGGTATAATGAAGCGCAGCCTGTCTATTTACTAGTGTTGTGGTTTAACTCTGGTATGCAGCAAAGTGCCACACAACTGCTCAGTCACTTTTCCTTAGCACAACAAGGAGAGGGAATTGGAAGCATAGAAGTGAGAAAACTCATGGGTTCATTTACAGACAGTTTAATAGGCAAAGCAATAGCTGCATGTGCAAGGCAAAAAAAAAGGTGTTTAAACACTTCCCCCATTGGCAGAGAGGTGTTTAAACATTTCCAAGAAAGCAGGAACTTCATTTAGTTTAACAATTACTTGGAAAGAAAAAGACCACTACTCTGAACATCCCTCCTTCCTTGTCCTTCCCTCAGCTTTCAGTGCTGAGCCCAGCATCATATAGTGTAGGACATCCCCTGGGTCAGTTGGGATCAACTGTCCCAGTTGAGACCCTTTCCATCTTCTTGTGCACTATCACTAGCAGGGCAACGTGAGAAGCAGAAAACACCTTAATACTTTCTGTATTAACACATGCATTCACAACTCATGCAATTATATCCTATTAAACAGAAATATTGTACTTACAGCCTGATTAGGTTGATTGTCAGTCCTAAGTTCCTTGTAACAGGAATATTGCATATAAACTGGTTGATTGTGGAGGAGGGGTGTAGCAACAGCGTAGTAATTCACCATAGAAACAGCAGCATCTATGGAAGCCATTTCCAAAAATGCCTGCAACCAATACATAGCTGATTTCAATGTTGTTTTTGTTTACAAGAGAGCAAAAAGCATAACTTTTTCCCAATTCCACTCTCACTAGAAAAAGTTTATGTGAAAGTACAATACTGATTTACTCAGCCTTAGAATGCATTTGTGTGTGCATGTTTATGGGGCTGTTTTATTCAATTTGTGGGGTTTCTTAGAGAGTTTTACATTGTAAGTACATTATGTCATTTAAGAAGAGGTAGAATGAGTATGACATATGGGAAGAAACGCTGCTATAAGTACTACGCTACTAATCAATTTGTTAAATTCCTGAAATCAAGCACTATTACTTAGGCAGCTGATATGCATAGTGAATGCAAAAGCTGGAACAGAACATTAAACATCCATTAGCTTATGCATTGTATTAATCCAGCTCAGTGCTCCAGACAATTTTTTCAATGAATGCTTATTATTTTTAGGATTTCTGTGCTTCTTCATGATACAAACTACTCTGCCACATCTAACAGGATTAAAAAATTACATGCATGTTAGTAACTTAAGCAGGCAGGCTCTTTGAAGACATATGTCATCAACAGTGACATCTATCTTTATCATCTATATGTTCTCACATAAAGTGGATATAGTGTTTAACAGTACTATTAACAAACGTTTAGTTCATTATGTAATCCAAAAGCATATTAAAAACTTAAAATAAATTTCAAAACATCCTTTCACATATAAAAATGTGAAAATCTTCTCCTATCAATGAAATATTTAGACATTGTTGCAATCATTTCACCCAAGGTCAAGATCAAAATTATCATAACATGAACCACATCTTCAGTCTTGCTCTTGTTATTGAAACATTGAAAAGCACATACCTGACCTTTTCCTCTTAGCATCAAGACATTGGTTACTTTGCCAAAAGGGACACCTAATGAAATAACTTCTGCTCCAGTAACATCATCTGGAATTTGACGAATATGAATGACACGTGAAGGGGAACATAGTGATCTTTTTCCTCGACTTTTTGTCTTCTCATTACCTAAAATATTTTAGGGAGGGAGACAGAAAAGTAAACAAGACAAACTCATTGCACAGTGTACATGTCAAAACCTAAAGGAGAGAAACTGCTGCCTCAGCACTGACATTGACTTAGGTATTTAGTTCTTCAAACCCTATGAAAAGATATTTCATATCATACAAAGGGACAGTGTAAGAAGATATCATCAACTATTTCAAATCTTGATAGCAAGGGGAGGGTGGGGTATGTCTGGCTTTGCTTTGGACTTGTTTGTTTATTTTCTGAAGATTTGGCTTTAGTTTGCTGTTGTTTTGGTTTTTTTTTAATAGGAGGTCAGTAGCTTCTCCCCAGATGCCTACATAAGGTATTTACAAAATGTTAGTTGCACAAAAGAGGGGAAAGTCCCAATTGGGAGGTAATATATTAATTTTCCTTTTATCACCAACTTATCTTTCTGTGACTGAATGGCTAACTCGAGGTTTTGGGTTTGTTTTTACTTTATTAAAGAAAGCCTGCTGTTCCAAATTATTTTAAGTTTTAAAAAGTCTTTGAAAAAGATAGCATGAAATCCATACAAACTCTTACATCTTCCACTTTGACATACTGCCAGAAGTGTGGTTTTTCTTGGACATATGCCTGTTTGGATCCTGTAAGGGACTGATCTGGATTGGTAAGTGACCAATGACTGCATTTCAGGAACTTTACTCAGTATCCTTGAAAGCACTTTAAAGCAGTACGCCATATCTGGAACAAGTATATTGTTCTAGAAGCAGTTGCAATGGAGGCAAGAAAGATAGCTTTAATAGCTAATCTGTTGCATTTAGCCTTCCAAGGAAAAACACAAAAGATTGGAAGAAATTTCTGTGTGAGCTATATAAGAAATTTCAGATTTTGCTGTAGGTTTTGCATGCAGTCTAAGGCTGAGAACTGGCTCACAGAACTGCTCATTCTGCATAAGGATGTTTACAGAGAGTCTTTTTATTACTGGAAGCCTGTAAAATTTTAAGTTGGATGATCAAAGCCCCAACCATACCACACTTAACAATTCTCCCACCTGTAAAACTGAAAAGTCTGTTATGCATTGATTTTTCCTTCAAGAAGTTTTAAATAGCTTCATGTGCTCTGTATGCATTCTGAAAAATGCGAACTTTAAGACAAACATGACCATATTAAACATATTGGTACCAAGACATGACAGGACATATTACTAGTAAACTCTAACAACCTATTTTGTTACTTTTCAGGTCCTAAATGGATAAGATGTCCCTGACTTAATACTAAGTCAAAGAATGCTGGACCAAAGGAAACAGGAAATGAAGCCTAGTATGAATTTTCCTTTTAGTTTTATATAAGACAGACTTGCAGAAGCAGTATCTTCTGGGTTCTGACACACTGTCAGAGGTGACAAAGTGGAGCTAAGTGGCAAACTGTTGCAGTGCTTCTTTTCTTGTGAAACCTTAGCTAAGTTACCAAATCAGCAATAAAAGCTAGCACATCTCAAAAATAAAACCTCATAGTTTTTAAACCATGCTTCTTTCTCCAGCTGTGGTTTGATACTAATTTTGATGCAGAGTGATAACCATCTATATCTTCCAACATCTAAATTTCCAAATTGATTCAACATTTCTTTAAAGCATGCCAAAGGTGATCACCTTTCTGAATTGTACTCTCAATTGAGTGAAAGTAAAAAATGCTTTCAGACAGACCAAAAGAAGCCTTATGAAAAGGCTTATGAAAATTGGTTCCTGATGTACAAAGGGAAGCTCATTACAATCACAATTCATGGCTGGTACAAATGTATTCCCTCAGCAGCCTGAGGTAGAGAGGTACACATTTTAGATATGTGACCCACCAGACCAAAAAAGCTCCAAACCCCCAAACAAAACAACAAAAAACAAGTCCTGCAACTGGAGCAACTGTATTGGGTAAAAAGATGCATTTCAAGAGTGACCACATTTAATTTTAGATTTATATGATTATTAATGAGAATGCCTACTAATAGATCCCAAAAACCTCTATATCATTTAGATACCTTGGATACCACTGTGAAGTATCAGTCATTGCACTGTTAATTAATAATATATACTTCAGCTATTACATTGCTGAGCTATAAGCTAATGCTATTTCAAGCCAAGCAGAAACATTTGGACATCACATTGAATTGATCAGCAGAAGTATAAACAACCTGACGTGCAAGTCAAAGAAATCAAAAAGAAAAATCTTCAAATTAGCTCCTCAGACTCTTCCTTCTTCCCCACTGAAAATATAGCAAGTCTTAGACACTTACCAAAAGGTGATCTGCTCTGTCCTTTGCCCTGATATAAAATAAACTATTTGGAAACCACTGCTGACAGGTAATTGTCTATGTCATGATTTAGTTAATTTATTTGACATAAAGTTACTTCATGCAACCATTGGTCATTAACACTCCGTGTACACCTAATGCTGGAAGTAATATTACCAAAAGTAGTAACAGATTTCTCTCACTTTCAACTTCCTGTCTGATCTAAAACTACAGGTAAACAAACACATACACTTACTGCATCTTCCTCAACACACACACACACAAAACAACAAAGGAAAAAAAAAAACAACACAGAGAAAGAACAGCTGAAGAACTTTGAGGGTTTTTTTTTTCATGTATACCTGTAGCTGGAGTAGAATTGCTCATGGTAGAAGGTCTATTACTGACACCAGAGGCAGCTTGTCAGGACCACACTAAAGAAATAAAAGACAAGATTACTAGTAAAAGCTTTTACAGAGAAAGCTCGATGTAAAAGTGCAACAACTCCCTTTACTTATTCTTCCCAAGAACACCCCCTTCCTATACACAGTACCCACAACTGCCAAGAACTCGTTTTTCAGGGAAAAAAAGTCAACAACATAGCTGAATTTATTGATTTATTGAGACATGGGAAAAAGTTATGTTACACTTCATATTTAAATCTATCTCACTACAGTTCACTTCTTAAAATACCAAGAATAACAAATGCTTAAGAAAAGAAATGAGCTGGCTGCAGGCTTTGCGTCTGCAATACAACATTACTTCCACAAATGCACAGCTACACAGGTAAAGTCTGCCTTTGCAACAGGACACAGGGGACCTTGAGCAAAACTAATTTGAGACATATTTAAACAAACCCATGGCACATTTAAAAAAAAAAATCTGGTTTCAGTACATTTTTTTTAAATACATATGACTTACCATCAAATTCTTAGGACAAAGATCAAAGTATTTACTTTAAGAATGTTAACCAATTTGAACTTCTAACTACTGACAGAAAAGAGTTTGAGTACCACAGGTCTGTCATTCAAAAATCAGCATCTAGCTCTAGTTATGTCTGTTTACTCATTAAGACTGCTGTAGTATCCCAGCCAAGCATCAGCTTCAAAACACCAAGAAACAAGGTACACCTTGAACAAACAAACACCTCTGAAAGGCAGTTACATTTCCTGAAACTTTCACCACTCTCTTCCATAAAAGAATTTTAATGAAAAATAAAGACCAAGGGAGTGATTCTACATGATGGAATAAGTTGATCTAAACAGCTTCTCATCACTTTGGTGGAAAGAGAACTTCCCACTGCCCTTGGTCCAGTATTCCCACATGACCATGAACTATTTATCTTGCATCAAGTCCAGTGCCCAAGAGTTTTCCTATGAGGTTAATCAATTCTCCAGCCTACCAGCACTCTAAGCTGAGCTAGACTAGTTATTCAGCTGAAAGAAATGTTGAGAAGTGGCAGGATCCACTGCAAAGGGGTAGGGATAAGCCATCATGTTGGCTTGCATCAGCTGCAAAAACACTGCTCAGAGTACTGGCTTATATGGGGTCTGTGCTAAAAGAAGCAATTAGGTTCCCCTCATGCTTGTTAATCATGTGTTCCTGCTGCTTCCCTAGTGTGGGAAAGTCATTCACAACAGAAGACTGTGACTAGGCTAGGGTGCTTAAAAACCTTTTTAGCCAAATTTAGCTGCTCATGAAGGAGCACAGGTGTTAGTGTGGATGGAAGAAAACATGAGTGTGTTCATTCTTCTCCAGCAACAGCAGAGACTTATTTTAACCATGAAACTACATCTTAACAGTATATTTAAGTACAACATATAATTGTGACAAACAGCAAAATCATTTTTACATTAAGAGAACTAAAAAATATAAACGCTGTATTTTAAAGAAATGTTAATTAATTGGTTACTAGACGTCATGGATATCACACTGCACTTGCACAAATACTAGAATGTAATTAATATGCAATGCTGATATTAATTTTTAACTATTATCACTACACTGAGTATACCAGCACTCGTATTGCACCTAAAGAGCATATTTTGATTGTAAAATGCATATCATGCTAATTAAACAAAAGCTGTATGTGCAGATGTAGTAGAAGGTATAAATTATGGTCCTTTATTACACTAAACCTTCCTTTGGAGGCAGGAAGAAAAACTGCTACTGATGCAACTCCTGTTGGAGGCTTTGTTTCAGTAAAGTGGAGGCTTTAATTTGGTTTTTAACTTAGCATTTATTCAACAGAAGAAACCTCTGCATATTTCCAGAAGGCTGTAAAAAAATGTCGTGTATTACCACGTCCAACATGTATTCTTACAATCTCATATTTAATTTTATATACACTGGTATTAAAAAAAAACACCTCAGACATTTTCAGAAGAAAATATTTTCCAACCTCTTCCATTTTTAGCACACACACAAAGAAACACAATGCAGATGGCTGCAGTGACCTGTTTTACAACTCTTTGTGTAACTGGCCTGTATTCATAAAACTGAAGCTGTAGCTCACTGCAGCACACAATGAACTGCTGCTCCAGGATGGTGGACTAAACCAGCTTTGACAGGAGAAAAATTATACCAAAATTACAACATTCATCCATGACATGTTTCGGTACTTAAAACTGACACATCATTCAGTCACTACATCCTAAGACAGTTCCCTAGATTGTGCCGTTACACTGACAATCATTAACCCACCACAGCAGCGAAAACACAAAGGAACTCTTTAAACCCCAAGCTCATCACCTATGAAACTGTTTTATTTGGTTTAATAAAAGATCAACAAAGCAATACAGAGAACCATCATAATTTCAAATGTCTAACTGTCTTCATATCTTCAAACTGATACAAGGAGTATTTTTAAAAATTACATACTTTTAACTATGTTTTTATTAAAAAACCAAAACAAAACAATTTAACATTCAATCAAGACACTGTAGAATAACTGGCCTGGCCTAGGCTTGCTAAGTCTAGAGCCCTGACTACAAAACTTAGTTTCTTACAGAAGAATTTAGAATCTTACCTGAAGATCTTTGTTATACTTTTTGTTATTGTCTGAATGCTCCACTGAAACACTGCTCCAATTTTTAACTTTTGATATCAATACTAAGTTATATATCCACCCAAACAATTACAGCACATTTATTAACTACAGCATGCCCCTTGGAAGGATGTAGTATATAAAAACTGCTAGGAATGCCACTGTTTTTGCAGGTGGCTGATCAAGGTATTTCTCAGGTACAAGAATACTAAAATGATGCTTTTCATCATCTCCTTGTTTAGACAGCTTATAAATGATAGCCCTTCTTACTCATTGACTGAAATCAAAACCAAACCAAATGCAAAAATGTTCTAGAAGATTGCAAAGATGAACTGACACCATGGCAGTTGCACAAGTTGAAGTACAAAATGTGTATGTGATAGTCTGGATGGAAGAAAAAGACAACATTTACTTCTTCAGTGTTTTCACAACTCTGCTCATATAGAATACTCAAAGAGATTACAAAAATTCAGCCTGTAAAGACTGCTTGTTCAATCTCTTTCTTTCCCACATAGAGGTGAAAGAGATATTTTTAAAATACTTTGTAACATAAAGCATTTAACTTATTAGTGACAAAGATCTGCTACGGGCTGCTCTGGGTTTGCAAGGCCTTTAGTGTTGAAAAACTCTACACAATAGGGTAGTGTGCCCTAGATAATATCTTAGAGGAATCTAATTGAATCCTTCCACAGAGGTTAGAGTCCCACCATGTCCCTAATCTCTCTCTGTACATGAGTCTTCCACTAGTTACTTCTTATTTATTACTTAGTTACTTAGTTATTCAGTATTTAAGTCCAGCTGAAAAAAAGAGCAGCCAAATCCTGCTTATAAAGCTACCTTGACATCCTTCCCTGTCCACAGTTCATAGACACTTGACAAGCACCTCTTTAAGCAGACAGGAGCTCACACTGCCCTTGTGCCACCACATCCATTTCAGCTTTCACAGCACAACTGTGAGGTAAGACAGCTGCTTAGCCTCACCGAGCTGCTTGCACCAGATCTCTGTGAGGCCACACAGTGAAAGTGAACAGGCAGGCAGGATGAGTAACCATGCTGCCAAACCCTTCCCTGATGTACACTTCTTCCAGCACAAAGCCTACCTCAGAGAAAGCAGCACCTGCCTTCTGAGTGCCAGGACTGTACATGGCGAATATTCCTTCTTTCAGACTGTGATAAATGAGGTGAATGGAATAGCTCAAAAAAAGGACAGCTACCAAAGCAAGGCTGCAACATCCTCCTCTATTCCAGCACTCATTCCATCACTCCAAACACATTCATCATCTCCTAAGATCTTAAGACTCCCTTTTTTACACCATAAGACTTTCTACCTCTCCTACTTCAAGGCAGCATTTTAACATTTTTTTGGGGATTATTACTTGGCTATAGGCAAGGCAAGAGCAATAGAAGAGCTACAACTGGATTAAGTTTATTCTTTCCTTGTATTATTAAGTAGGAACTAGAAACCAGGTGCTTAGAAAGCTCAGTTTGATTTTGGACATTTCCTTAAAAATAGGTAATCTATAGTGCTGAGTAAAAAGTCAAATAAGAGGCCACCACAAAGTGTGCAATTCAATAATAGGTTAATGAAACAAAGTATTCTTCCATATCTACCAGATCAATTTCCCTGACTAAATAAGGCATATTACACAACTGACTACAGAAACAGGTGCCTGCCCTGAAACTACTTCAGCTGTTTTATGATTTTTTAAAATTCTGATAATAATTTATGCTAATGATTCTGCAATTCCAGGATAAAACCCACTGTATTCATAGCAAAAAACATAAACATCTGAAAGTCAGGAACTCTAAGTTTCTAAAATCTTTGTGAGTCACATATAGTTGGAAACAGAAGGGTAAGTCTAGTACTGCAAAATCCTTCTTTAGAACACGTCCACATGTTAAAACTATGGCAGATATCTATTTAGCAGTACTTCTGGAATCACTGAATCCTATAAACAATCTTTTAATTTCTAAAAAAGCTGTAAGCAACTCCCTTATTACCTCCCCTCAGCATTCAGCTGCAGTATTTTCCTCCCCTCTCATTTTCTAGAAGTCACAAATTCTTCAGTACAGTTCAATTAATTAGAAATGGGATAGTTCCAGAGAAACATACATTTATACTGATGATTTTCCTAGAATTTAGCTAGTCATCTTTCTATGTTATTATTTTTAAGTCAACAATAAGGAAGAATATGATCATAGGTTTCATGATGAAAAAAAGAGCATGGGCAATTTTAATGGAAAATAATTATTTCAAAAAAGACCTCTCTCCATGCATGTAAATTAAAACTGTTACATTCTTCTATGAGATTCTACATGGCAGAACAAATTAATTACTTGAAATTTGTCCCAAAAGGGCAAATTTCAAAACATGACAATTTCAAGCTATACCAGTGATAACCATAGTTATATTTAAACTAACTGTTCTACTGCATACTTTATTAATTTTTATAGAATCTGACTGTGGAAACAAAAGCTAAGGGCATGAGAAGAATGAAAATTTCCTTTATCTTCTGTAGCATGTCTCTAGATAATTACTATATTCATTTACTCTTTCTTCCTCTTTCATGTTTGCAAAGGAGATGCAGCTCCTACTTCTAAAATGGGGATTTAATATGGAGTACAATGCTGTTGGTGCCAAAATAAAGATTTCAAAGAAAGTGGAGCCAAACGACGGGAAATTTCAAAACCATGTACTTGTACTAAAAATAAACTGACCTTACATAGATAAAGCCTACCATTTCAGTAAGCTGAAGAAGAAATTAATTATAGGCAATGATCACATATAAGAAAACCTCTTTTCCTCTGCTATAAAGACCCCTCCCAAACACAGGCTCAAGCTGCTGATCGCCAGCCACCCTAGAAGCACTGTCTTAGCACTGATGGCTGCTCTTCTGTAGGCCAGCATGCTCGCTGGCTCTGCCAGCAACATTGCTTGCTCCACGGCCTCTGTTGTCAACTACTGAAGCTCGCTCCTGTGCAGGTAACAAGGTACTGCACACCTTCAAAGAGGTATGTAACAGTAATTGAAATGTTAAGAGAAAAACATTATGTATTTTGCATTTATGCTAGATACAGAGCAAGAACATAAGGAAATAACATTTTCCTCCTGAAGATGCAAAATATGCCAAAGCAACCTTGATCATGTGATTATCAAGAGCTGTAAAATTAAGAGTGACCAGCTTAGTTTTTTAACTAATACAAAATACGGATTTTCATTCTTAATGTCAGAAATACCTCTATGTAGTGTGAAAGCCTTAAGCTCATCCAAAAGGACAATAAGCCATATAGCATTTTGAATATTCCAGAAATCCAGCAAGCATCATGACACAGTGGCAGAGCTTTCTTTGAAACTGTCATCAAAGATGACTGCTTTTTTTTGTGATATCATCACTCATTTACAATTTCCACAAATATTGTTTTCTGACAGTATAAATACAAACTTGACTGAAAAGAAAGATTGATGTCTATGCTTCCTACGTAGCTTAAGCCTTAAATATGTGATGATTAAGTTTTCCTCAAGAGTAAACACAGGTTTTTTGTGAAGAAAATTTACTTATGTTACTGCAATATACTCCTTCCACATATACATTTTTTTCAAATTATCAACAGAACACTTAACACAATCCTTACTAAAAGTCTTCATTCTTATCCTTAATAAGCAAGTGAATATGGAAACATATCTATAAATAAACACCATACAGAATGAAGTGTACAGATGTACAGATGAAGATACTAGGCTTTAAATTTAAAGGCTTTAAAGTCAGAAATGTATCTATACAATGCCACATTGTGTAGGGTATTGCATAATTTTACACTTCACTATGCACAAGTCATGACATAAACATACAGGATCCCAAATAAACCACCAGTAAGCTGTCTCCCTTGACTTTGGTCAGAAGAAAATTTACATAGCCTTATAAAGTACCATAACTTGACAATCTGGTTTATAATTTATTATTAAAGGTTAAAATCAAGAAAGAAGAAGAGCTGAAAGAAACCATTACACCAATGCCAAACAATATGGTAGCAGCAAAACCCAGAGGGATTTTAACTAAAGAACTAGTGTGTGAAAGGCTATAAAAGAGATTCTCCCATTTAAACTAACTGCTACGTGATCTGTAACAACAGATCATCTGTAACAACAGTTATGCTATGTAATAACACATTTAAAAAAATTTTAAAAAAGATTGAAAGACGTTAACAAATTACTTAAAGGTGATGGTAAACAGCTTAAAGGAAGAAAAAAACCCCACTGTGATACAAGTAAAAATGTGACGAACTGTGGATTATTTTCTTTCCTCTTGCAAAGGAAATAGTTTAACTTGCACAGCATGAAGAGAAAGAAAGGTAGCTGGATCACAATAGCAATCAAAATTTCTGCAAAACTGCTATCTGAAGCATCCCTTTTAGCATTCATTTTTAACTCTAGTTCCTTCTGAAAACAGAAAGATTCCAGGATACAGTGTTTATCAGCAGCTCTACCCTGCAGCATAAAAGACATCTACTTTTGTTACTTTGATTCCTATTGTTTTGCAGAAGTAAATATACACAGCTTAGTTTAAGAAAAAATTATTGGGGGTGGGGGGAGGAAACTCCCCATGCATCTAAAAACCATCACAGATTCATAGGAAGATTCCAAGAAGATTTGACTCTTAACTGATCGATCATTTAACTTGAAAGCATGAAACTAATTTATCTAACTTACAAATTTTCAGAGCCCAACAAATAGTTTTAAAAAAATCTTTCTAGTCTCAACTAAACTGTGACACTCGAAAGACACATGTTCTTGACTGTACGGTTTTTGTCTGTTGAATTTTCTTCAAAATTAAAGACTTCTTCACAATTAAAGATTTCATCCAAAAGAGAGGAAATTTTACTTTTTTTTTTTTAACGAAATTCATATGCACAAACACTCATTTAAATCTAAGAATTGCACACTTAAAGTAAAGAGGTTGGAAAGAAATAAAAGTCTGTTTGATGATATGTATCACATAAATTATGAGTTGAATAATTGTCCTAGCACATGAAAGATTTGTCTCAGGATCAACAACAGATTCAATATTTTTATTCACAAGCTGAAGTTTTAATTACTCCTTAATGCTTTCTGGGAGAGTAGTGTTGCATGCAAGGAAAACACGGTCACAACTATGAGCCCCACAGCTCTTGTCCTTTCTGTCTCGTGTATTTAGTTTCCTCTGTGCTTTGCAATGTTTCTTAGCAGTTTCTCACTCTAAGAAACTCTCTCATGCAGTGGTCTGTGCTTCTCGGGCCCACTTTCACTTCATCTTTTGGAAAAATTAGTAATAAACTAGCCCCTGTAAGGATCATACCTTAAAAGAAAGCTTCTGTATTAATACACTAGTTACACAAATGAGGGGAAAGTCATAATCTCAGCCTGCTGGCAGACACAGTAGACAGCACAGCATCAATAAACCTCTATTTTTGTTTACATCTCCCCCTATCCAGAAAACGTACATCTTTAGTTGAAATCAATGTTTCATCTTTTCAGCATACATGGTAAAGGACAAGTTCTCCTTGCTCATCTTTCATCTAAATATTACATCAGTCACACAACATGAACTTTTCCCTTGAGTTTTACTTCACAGTGATATATCCTCTAACAGTCTTCATTTCTTCCACCTCTCAAAGGAACACACAAGTTAGTTGGTAAAAAAATTATTTTTCCTTGATTAAAGTGTACTGTGAAGTAATTTAACAGTAAAACATACAACCAGGTATGGAAGAAACATGATTTTGAGAAGAAAACCTATGAAGCAAATACAACCCCTGAATTTTATCAATAATTAAATCCATGCTCCCTATTAATACTCTGTGCTTTATAAAATACTGGTTTTTAAACAAGTTATCACCTTTGCAAAGTCTACAGTTTTAAATTTGACCGCTTGGTTGAAAACTGAATGACTTAACACTTCTCAGTCTAGAACAGTTCAAATCTGGTCTTTGGATTGCATGCTTTGAGAACCCTGGATCCTGCTGAAACACTGCTTTGTGTGTGTGTGTCTGTGTGTGTTCTGTGATGTTTTCCTTATATTTAAAGGTACACATTGAAACACCAACAAGTACATGATAAACAGCTCCTCTGAGAGAGCATAACATCCTTCACAACACACTAGGCTACACTTGTTACACACGCACTAAAACACCAATTTTGTACACAAAACAGCTGAATCCTATATGTCCAAAATAAGTTCACAAAAATAAAAAAAATTCTAATGAATTATAATGTTACTTCAGGATTCTACACCAAAGACTGCATTTATTGTCCACTCCTCAGCCCTACAGAGACCAACCACTATACACTAAAATCAAGCTATATCGAGCAGATGCTACAGAGGACCAGTACAGACAGAGTGCCTTTTCATATATATACACATAAGTCCCATTACTGTACATACATATAAATATACATGCAGTTGAAACTTATGTGATGACAAGACAAAAACTACCATGAGCAAACTGATCTCCCTACAGACAGTATATTATGGGGCATTGCAGGAAAGAATCAGCAATGAAGAGTTATTTTCAAGTCACTTTCACACTTTTAAAGCACTCAATTTTACTTCCTTACATTTGTTTTCTATTTTAGAAAACTGTTGTACACTTACAAGCAGAATTGTACACAGCAGAAGAAAATTAGATAGAAAGAGAATCTTCTATGACAGAATTTCAAACTAATGACAATTATGATAACTTAGTTTCTCTATCAGGTTTTATTAAACAGAAAAAAGTATCTAGCAGTGACAGAAATCAAATGAAAAACAAGCATATCACTTACTTTTGAGTTCAAGAAGTTTCCTCCACAGAAACTTAAGCTTTGCACTATATTTTCCACCCTATTCAAGGAGATATACTGTGCACTGAATAACTTCACATTAACTACTTGAACATTGATTGTGTTCTGGGAAAGGACAGATAATTGAGATGAAGGGGTAGGAACAGATGCATAGGTGCAAAGGGGTAGGTGCGAAGCTAGAGTCATTTTCCTGATAACACAAGACCAAAACAAACAGCTTGTCTGCATACACAAGAAAGCGAGAAAGACACACACAAGGAGAAAGAAAGACAAATTAGAGACTAGAAAATAGAAACAGATGAAGTGACAAATCAAAAGAGTAAGAAAACTAATTCAGTATTGTGTAATAAAATGAGGAAGTGAACCAGCAAAAAACCTACAGAAATGGAAAAAAAATAGAGGAAAAAAATCCTAATTAAGCTGAGCACAATCAGAAAGACAAAGAAGGCCTAAAAGTACCAAGAGGGACTACATGCAATTTATTAATTAAAATCACCTCTTAATGTTACAAGTCAATAAAACACTTGGATGACATATTCTTTTCATTTTCAGTGGTCTTTGGGATCACTGCACCATCATGCATTTCATGCTGACTCCCAAATAGTATTTGTGTTTAGCCTAGAAAACACTACGGTTAAAAGCCTGAAGACATATAGAATCATAGAATCATTTAGGTTGGAAAAGGCCTTTAAGGGAGGGGAGTCTGCATCTCAAAGTGTTAAAGCATAATTTACACATTCAAATGCCGTATGAAGTATGTTATCACTCTGCACATATGTAAAAATGTGCCTTGAATTCTTGCTTTAAAAGTGTTTATTGTCTTTTCCAAAGTAGTGCAGTCTAGGAATCACCTAGTAAGATGGATCAAAAGCTGGAGCAATACTCTAAAAATCTTCCTTTTCATGAACGTACATCCGCCTCATGTACCACTTCAGTTGTAGCTACCATGTAGCCTACAGACAAGGAAAGGGTTACCATTCCCTGATTTTGCCATATGGTCTGGTTGCACCCAAAGCAGATGATGTGGTAAGATTTGATTTCTGCCTATAAGTGAAGTGGTTCTGGATCATCCTTATTCCCGTGACTAATGCAATCCACCTTTGAAGAAAATAGTAACATCTCATTTAAATGGTAAAATCCTAATAGAGAGCACTGAGCCCACCATACACCTCTGCAGCTGTGTGAAGTATGCACACTTTCACAGAGTGCACACATGCAAACACAATTCTACTACTACTCACTGTGCAGAAAGAACAATTTTTCTTCCCTTTGACTTCAAATGCCCTTGTAATAGACCATGTCTTTTAATGAGCAAGCATGGCAACAAGTTAAACTACTAGTAGTTCAGTGTGATTAAGGAAGTTATTTGCAAGATAATGGTTGGTTTATTGAATTATAGAAGCATTCATTCCATTGGCTTTCACAAGAAATTCAGGGTGTGGTTTCCTGGTCAGTTTAAGCTGATCTATAGCTAGAGTGAGCAAAGGCAATCATGTAATTCCTCACCCTTGTGTTTTCACAGCTCTCACGGCAGTGACTAACAACTGCAAGGCAGCATGGTACCAGAATGATTTATTTTACCATGCAGTTCACATATGACAGTTGCTACACTATGAGGGAGGTGCAGAAATGCACTGATGAGGATGGCGCTGCTGTGCTGCTCTTTTGGCAGCAGACCTGAGTTTCAACAACTTCAGCCAAGAGGGAAACAGCAAGAGCAGGGAAGAATGGTATTAACAGGAGTAGACAAAATACTTTTTCACCTACCCACTCTGCAAAGAGTATCAAAAATGCTGCCTCGAAGTGGACAATGCAAAACTCACTTCCACAGACCTGAAGAAATAGGAACAATTTTCACATACTGAAATGAGAAAAGAAAAAGGAAAAAAAAGTCTCATAAATATAGTCTTTCATTAAAAATATGCAGAACTAAATGAAACTGTAAGAACAAAATATAGACAATGGTCAAAAGCAAGAAAACCAAACGTAAAAGTACAGTTACATGCAACAGTTAATGAGTGCAAAAAAATTAACAACTGCAATTTGAAACAACAGCTGTAGGCATAATTTTATGATATAACTAACTCTCATTCTCATGTTTTGACACAAGATTTTGTTTAATCAGGATATTCTCTAAAAGAAAGTTGACAAACACACACTTGTGCTTATCACTTAAGACAGGATGAGTTCAGCAGAAAACCTGATAAATACTCCCTGGTAGAACCCAAATCAACTCCTTATCTCCCCAGACAGGGTACAAAAAGCAGATTAACTGTCTTGACTACAGACCAAATCAAATTAACAGCAATTTGACAACAGCTATGGAAACTAAGAGATTTATTAATATTTTGCTATTTTCATGTTTCTGATTGTGATAGATTATTTCCATTTCTGATTATAACAGAAAGTAGTAGTACACAAGATTTGGGAGTGAACAGCAAGCTCATAAGGCGAGATAACTTCATTCATACCAGGCTATACTACATGTTTTCCACAAGCACCTGACTCAAAGTGGGTTAAAAACAGGTATTTATGAAGCAACTATGGGAAAAAAATCGATGTAATTCCATGTAAAATATAATTTCTTTTAAAAGGCTCCTGAGCCAGAAATCTATGGATAATAAGAATGAAGTGGTTGATGACTCTTTAAAAGCTTGAGCATTATCTTCCAGAATTCCAAAGTCTTGTTACCTGAAGATTTAATCTGGTACCAGAATGACTGAATTTAATTTGAAAACAAAATACCACTGCTGTGTATATTGTTGTTCCTGAGCTTCCCTCTTACTAATCCACAAGGAGGCCACTAACCTCAACTATAAACACTTATAGGTTTAGGTACATATCTGGTCTGCTTTTGATAGCCAACAAAAAAAATACACCACTTTGGTTTCTTTGAATTTTTTAAGTTTAACTTGAGTCACATATTCCTGCTAAAAAAAATAAGCTTAAATAAAGAACCAATTTCTTTGCCATAAAACTGAAATTCTTACAGCTTTTTACAGAAATTTTCTGATCCAAATAAAAATTACTTATCTGTGTTTACTTTTATGTATTCTCACCCTTATTAAATATAAGGTTTGGATCTAAATTAGCCTCAGCATTCCACAGAAAGAAATTGATGCTTTTATTTCATTTCTGTATTAAAGCAGCATGGAAGTGTAATTTTTCTTCTTTTACTTTTTTGTTTTACTTTAGGTTTACTAGGGCAGTTTCAACCAATACCTCAATAGCTTGCATTTTCAACAAAGTTTGGAGATCAGCAAATGGCATTCAATTCTCAGAAGGTACTTAGCAACTTCCAACAAAAAAAAAGAACATTCCCAAATCACTCAAAAACCCCAGGTCTTCCTGAAGTGTCACAGGCATCTCAGAGCATACTCAAACTTGCAGTTATCACCAATCACCTGTATCTTCACTGAAGCAGATAAAGGCTCTACTTCAGAAAATTTATTTTAAAACACTCAGTTAATTCACCTTTAATACTTCCATAGTCTTTGTTTCACTCTCTCAAAAGAAAGGTTATTAGGGAGGTTCTACTTTGCAATGTTAGATTTGTAGAGTTTAAGAATTACATGTATTTTACCTGCATCATTTCTACCCAAACCAGAAACAATGCTAACATTAAGTTATCTTTAGTAGTATTTCAGGGCAGTACACAAACTCACCCATGACTCTTCTTCCCTCCTTTCTCAACTGAAATAATAAAACCCTTATAAAATTTTTTTTTAAAATACTTGGGAAAAGAGGTTATCATACTAGTTGTATGACAGCACAGGAACCTCACACCCACATCAGATAGCAATTCCAAACCTTAAGAAAGAAACAAACAAAGAAAAAAACCAAAACAAAAAAAAAATCCCTGTATTCTCTAATAGAACACAGGAAAAACAAAATTACAAGTTCCTCCACAAGCAAATCTGGCAAATTAAGAAAAAAAAAATTCACTCCAGTGAGAACTTTCTTAATTTTCTCTTGAAATTTTGCAACATGCACTTTTAAAGAAAATGTGAAAAAAATGCTGATATCAGAATTACTCAGTAGAATTTTAAATTAAATTTTTCAAAAAGATACCTCTTAAGACTATTTGCTGTTTGATTAATCAGCATTTATAAAAGACTGTTCTCATCAACATGTCTCCCTATAAAGTCTTCTACTACCATAGTGTGTTAAAAGATGTCAGGAAGTTTTTTCAACCACAAGGGAAAAAGAAGCCTTAACTTCTGTATCAGAATACCTAGATTTTAAGAACAGCAAAGATTTTACATGTCACCGACATTCAGGACACAAGTTTAAGTTAGTGCAGCATCTACATCTTTGCATGAAGTTGGAAGTGCTGACTTCCGTGAACATTTCTATTTTCACCTCTGCATATGGTTACAATGAAAAAAATAAACATTATGTTAGTTTCCTGGGACAGTTGAATTTCCCACCATGGCCAAGCTACCCAGATTCTAAAATATGAATTTTTGCATTCTAAAATATGAATAGGTAAAGGAAAAATATCAGCAATCAAATTTTCACTTAAAAAGCAGCCAGGGAAGTTAGCAGTACACACAATGAACTTGGGTTTATTACTTAGTTGCAAGTTGAGAAACTTTATCAAGACACACAACAGCCAGCTACCGTCACGCTATCCCAGCAGTGGGAGCACAATAATTCAGACTTGTTTAAAATATCTTTATCTTCTGAGGACGACAACGCTGTAGAAACTTCATCCCTGTAACAATCTGCTGCATAGTTAAGGCTTTCAATAAGGTCTACTAAAATGCATTACATGAACAACCCTTCTGATTATTGATTAACTCCGCAGAATAGATGTCAATCAGTTCGCTTCCACATATACACTTCCACCAGGCACCAGCGACAAGGCGAACACCAGCGGTTCCACGTTTTCTCTGTACAGAGAAGCACCTCCCAAAGTCGGGGTACTAAACTTCCATTACCACGTGAAACCGCAAATACCCAAAACCCCATCGCGATCCACCGCTAAGAAACCCGCGCGCCAAAGGATTTTTTTTACCACCTTAAGAGGGGTAACTCCGTAATAAAGTTTAAAACCCGGGCAAGCGCAGGCCCCGAGCGGCGGCCGCCCCCTCCAACCCGCGGGGGAAGGGGAGCCGCGTCCAGCCCCGCGAGCGGCGCTTCCCGGCGCATCCCGGCCCGGGGCCACGGCCCCGCGGGGCAGGAAACCGGCCCTGGCCACGGCCGTGGGGAAAACGCGACGCCGGCCGCCCTGGGAGAAAAAGAGAGAAAAAGAAAGAGGAAAGAAAAAGGAACGGAAGCGAGACCCGCACGCCCTGAGTACCACAAAGTTCCCGGCGGCAGCGCCCGGCCCCTCAGCTCCAGGACGGCGACGGCCGCTGGCTTCCTCCTTCTACAAGTACCTGGCGGAGCAGCCCTCGGGAATATCCCCACCCCAAGCCCGGCCCCTTCGAAACCCGGCCCCCCTCCGACACCCACCTTTCCCTCGCTCCACTCCGCTCCCTCCGACGGGGGCGGAGAGGACCTCCCCCAGCCCCTCTCTCTCCACCCCCGCTGCTCCGAGGAAGAAGGAGCCGGGATGTGCTGGTCACCGCCCCCCCCCGCCGCAGGCGGCACCAGGTGGAACCCCCGGGGCGCTCCCCCCGGCCAGCGGCCGCCGCCCGCCCCTCAGCACTCTCCCTCTGCGGCGCCTGCGCAGTGCGGCGGTCCCGCCGCTGTGGGGCGCGGTCGGGCTGTGCCGGGGCCTCGTCCGCCCGCTCCGGAGCACGGGAAGGCGGCATGGATCGCTCGGCATCACTTAAGTTGGAAAAGACTCCGAGGTCATCGAGTCCAATCTGTGATCCGAACGCCATGTCAACTAGACCATGGTACTACGTCCAGTCCTTCGCTAAACACCTCCAAGGACGGTGACTCTACTACTTTCCTGGGCAGACCCATTCCAAATTTTAATCAACCCTTCTGTGAAAACGTAACTCCTAATGTCCTCCCCTGGCACAGCTTGAGGCCATTTCCTCTTGTCGTGTCCCTGGCTGCCTGGAAGAAGGGACCGACCCCGAGCTGGCTGCACCCCTTCAGGCAGCTGTAGAGAATGGTGAGGTCTCCCCTGAGCCCCCCTTTCTCCAGGCTAAACACCCCCAGCTTCTTCAGCTGCTCTTCAGAAGACTTGGGCTCCAAACCTTTCCTCAGTTACATTTTCCTTCCCTGGGTTCTCGCCAGAACCCCTGTGTGTTTCCTGCTCAGAACTGAAAGCAGCACTTGAGGTACAATCTCACCAGTGATGGTCAGGGGTGGTCACTGTCCTGGTCTTCGTGGCCACACTATTGTTGGTGCAAGCCAAGACAACATTGTCCTTTTTGGCCCGCTGGGCACACCACTGCCTCGTGTTCCATCATCTGTCAACCAGCACCCCAGGTCCTTTTCTGCCAGGCAGCTTCCTATGCACTCCTCCCCGAGCCTGTAGTGCTGCAAGGTTCAGGGCAGCAGCCACAGGTGATGGGGCAGCCACAGGTCAGGGACTTTGCCATCCATTGAGGGCCCCAGTGTCCTCCTGCCTTTCGGGTCCCACAGAGCAGCTGGGGCAACCAGGACAGAGGGAGAAAGCTGGCCACTCACCCGGCACCACCAGATGGGATTCAGGTACCAGCCCTGACCTGGATGCTGGTTGTGCTGTCCCTCCGTGTGGCACAGCCTCAGCGCTGGCTGTTGTGCTGTTAAAAGGTGGTCAGCCCCTGTCCCTGTAAAAGCTGGGCATGTGGGTTTGTGAATTTGCTGAGCCATATGTAAAGGAAACTTCCCTGCTTGACCAGGAGCCACTCTGGCAGTCAGTCTTGCACAAGCTGAGCTGGGATCAAGGCCCCTTCACAGCTACACTCCCCTGCTCACACTGTAACACCAGATTCCCACACCATCTCCACCCCAGGTTTCCCAGAGCTGAGTTTCAGAAGTCCACATCCCCTGGGTGCAATAACTAAACAACAAAATAACAGCTCAAGCTGGTGCCTCCAAGATCCATAGGTGTGACAGGGGACAGATGTCTGGTCCCCTGACTGGAGAGTAGAGAGGGAAGCTGGGTGATGCCAGGCAAAGTCTGGTGACATACTCATGGCTGTCTGCAGTTCAAGTGAGCTATGTCTACATCCTGCTCCCTAGAAGTGGGCTCCCAAGGGCAAGAGGTGCCCTGGAGATATGAGATAGAGACGTCTGTGCTTCATGTAACTGCAAGGAATTGTGTTCCTCTGGTTATGTCCTGTGTAGGGTGGACTTCCCTGAGCTAACTCTTTTTCTGGGCTATGTTGTTAAAGAAAAGTGTAGCCTCAATCAAATGGATTACAGTCACAGGACAATTCTTGAATGTCCTGTGAGTCTGACAGACTTCACTCCTAAGAATACAGGAGTATCTAGAAGTTTGCTTTTCTGTTCCCCCACAAACTACAGGAATAGGACAAGTCACTATGATCAAGGAAGTACTTTGGGGAGTAGTTGTTTGAAAAAAATGAATTTTAGTCTTAACATAAGGGTCAAAAATAAATTTTAGACATACCAGCAGACTCAGAAATTATTATGTTTGAATCAGTTATTATGAGAAAAGGAAGTGAGAATATCAATGTATCTATTTTAGATATACTAATGTGAGAACATACATACACACATATGAGAATATACTAATATATTAAATATTTCCAATGTATTGGAATATATTTTATATATGTTAGTAATTAAATTCCTGTATGTATATAAATCTAAAAATTAAGGATTTTTGAGTCCATTGAAAGAGCTTTTCTTTAGAGGTCAGGTTGTGAAAAATGACGTACAGTTTCATCCCTTAGCACACATGTTTCTTGTTAAAAGTTAAATATACAACGTAATTTAAAAATACTATAATGGTTCTCCTGTAATTGCTCTGTACACTACAAAAATAGAAAGAAGTGTGTTTTGCCAGTAATCTAGACTTTGCTGCCATTGAAGAATGCTTTTAAATTAGCTTTCAACTGCAATTCACAAAGCCAGTAGAAATTTTGATAGATTGTTATAATAGAAAAAGAAAATAAATCCTTTGTGATGGGGCCTGTGAGCTGGTTGCTAACACAAGCAGGGAACAACAGAAAGGAAGAAAACTTTGATCATTCCCTTCTTGGGAGGCAAGGAGTGAAGGGGAGAGAGAGAGAGAGATAAAGATAATGTGAGGGAAAATACTTCTAGGAAGCAAACTTGGGCTTTGGGAGTTCTTTTCCTACTTCACCTGTCACACTTTTAGAGATTTTTTTGTTTGTTTTCAGTTTGGAGGTTTTGTTCATTTGTGGTTTTGTTTGTTTGTTTTTAATTGGTCCCCTTATTCTATTTATTAATTTTGGCTTGTTTCTCTGATTGGTTATGTCTGTAGCTTTTTCTCTTTTTTTCATTAATTTAAACTGTATTCTTCCTGACCTATGTCAAATTCATGTTTCTTGCAACTTTAGGGAAGTCTGTGGAATTGTGCTGTCTATAAATTAGATGTGTGTGTTTTGAATGGATGTGTTGTTTCCAGCTGTGTCTTTTATATGGACATAGAAACTGAATGATGGTGTTGTTTACTTTAAAGAGGTATATAGTGTGGTTTAATTAGATAGAACTTCGAGGAAGAACAGATATCTGTATGCACAGATCCAATTATAGCATCAGGGCCTGGGTGCACGATATTTTGTCTGCTCAGCATACAAATACGAATAGACAGATGCAATTAGTCAACCTGATCTATTTTAAACAAACTATGTTTATCTGGTTTTAGCAACACCATATTTTACTAAAAATTACTTGTCTTTGATGTTATTCTATCAAGTTGAAAGAAACTAACACCTACTGTATTTTTATCTTATTGATATTGTTGTTATCCATATTGCTAACACTTGCTTACACTATGAAAATAAACCAAAACCAAATTACCTGGTTTTGTGTTTTGGAGTTGTAATTGTAATTCCATGGGTTTGAGTGTTTATGACATAAATTAATATTTGGCAGCTAAAAGGTTTTCTAAGCTGTTCTCTATTCAATGAGGACCTATTATCCATTTTATGCAGCTCCTATTTACTCAGAATAATTTGATATGTTGTTGTTTTTCAGGTAACTCTTCTACTAAAACTCCAGTTCTTTGTAATATGTTATGTTTATGTAACCAGATGCATTATATTTCTGAGAATACTATGCAGTACCACTTCTAGTAGGAAGTTCTTTGTTTAGTTTCCTGGAAAAAAAAACCCTAAGAGATTTCTTAGCAGGGTAGTCATTGACTAGGTCATTTGACTTGCTCCAGCCTGACAACACAAGGCTTTCACCTAGAGACTGTAGCTCAAGAAATAACAGTCCTGATTAAACCTTGTAATTCGCTGCAATTTTACCAGCTCCTCAGCTGTTGTGGTGCAACTAAACTGCAAATTCACTCCATAAACTGCATTTAAAAAGGTAACTTCCTCCACCTTTTTGGTTTTAGGATTAGTACAGTAGCATAGCAGAGCAGACATCTGGAAAGAGCAGCCGTGGACTTCCATGGTCCTACCCCTCTCAGGTTTATTGTGCACTGTACAGGCTGCAAACTCCTGGTAGGGTATGGCTACTCCACCAAACTGCTCACTGCACTGAGTCAGAAATACAAGCCGCATCTTTGGCTCTGCTGATCACTTCTGGAGAGAAACAAAAGTAGATAAACACTTAAAGTGACAATTACTTGTTGTGATGTACCATTCTGTGTCGTCCACTAAGGAGCCTGATGCATTGCAGAAAACTGGGTGCAAATTTTAGCAGAATTTTACTGGCAGTGAAGAAAAAGTAGAAATTGTTTTGGTAAGCTACTAAAAGCTGTATTTATAAAAAACCTGATCTTTTTTTTTTTTTTTTTTTTTTTTTTCAGGGGCGGTGCTACAAGGAGAGGGTTGGTTGTTTTTCTTTCCTGGGGTAAACTTGGGAAATTTCTGTTCAGGTAAGTGTAAGAATGTGTTAAAATGTATGTGCTCTTGCCATAGTAATGAGGAAAATGGTTTTTTAGTTAGGACTCACATACCATTTAAGACCATATGTTATCTCCTGATTTCAATGCAGAATCATTCTAAGATCACAGTAAACCTAAATAGCATTTATTGGCAAATGCCAGCAAATTAATGTATGTCTGCCTTGTGGAATGTACTAACTAAGTTACCAGTGGAGGAAACAACACAGCTAACCTGTGAGCTGTAGCCTGTTCAAATGAGTCCAGAGCTGGAAAGATCTTTGGATGCTTTAGAAAGTGGCAAAAGATCAGGTGAGAACAACAAAAGGCTTTGGCAGAGTTGGGGTTTCAAGAGCCTTGAAATAATGTGTAATATTTAAGAATGGCAGAAATTGAAAGGTATTATGACTGTGTTTGTTGATATAAATTTTTAGATTGTTCCTAGACCTTAAAGGAAAATGCTGATCCAAAATGTAGCAAATTTGGGATGTAAAATCATGCTTCAAAATCAGTATTTGTGCGTAGAACTTAGAGAATCTGTAAAATTTGGAATGTATAGCCCCTACCCCCAATGAGGCAAATACATTTTGCTTTTAAAATAAATATTTGGCATTGGCCAGTTCAGAGGAAACCCAGAAGATCACCCCAAATCATGTTTAAGCTCAAAAGTAGCCATTTGAATCACAGAGCAGAGGATCAGGAGGCATAGGG